TGGGGATTCAGAATTATTACTGATAACATTGTTAGCATGATTTTCAACTTTAGAAATCAGCTTATTGACCCCAGTGATACTAGAACCAGAATCAATGATGCAACAATACAAAGGGAAAACACCACAAGGTTTCTATGAATGATACTGGACGAACAAATGAACTAGAGCAAGCAAATAAAAAAATCAGCCAAAAAAAAGTGCAAAAAAGAATAATAATATATTGAGAATGATTAAAGGAAATGGATGGGAAGCACGCCAAGACATACTAATTCAATTCTACAAAGCATTCGTCAGGTGGTTAAATGGATTAGGGAAGCATAGTCTATGATTCAGCACCAGAGCACATCAAAAAAAAATCTTAATAGAAACCATTGCAGAAGAATATATTGATAGGATAAGAACAGATAACCTGCGTAGACACTGATGGGTTTAAAAATGAAGCAGGAGAAGGAGTAATTATTCCTCAGTGAGGAATGAAAGCAAATTTAAAATTACAGAACATGCAGCATCTGCACAGCTGAACTGGTTGGAATCTTGAAAGCACAAGAGATTGTGCTAAATGAACCAACAACAAAAGTAACCATTTTAGCAGATTCAGTGTCATCAGTGCAATCTTTATGTAGTCACAATAAAGGCAGTAGACCACATATAAAAGAAAAACTCCTTAACTTGACAACTCAGCTTAAGAATTAAGGATGTCAAGTCACAATAGCATGAATATCACCAGCACACAGAGGTATAATTTGGAATGAGCGAGCGGACCAAGCAGCCAAAAAAGGAAGTAACCGCAATGCTCTGGTAGAAGAAGACCTCGGAAAAATTTAATGGACTAGCATAGTCAAAAGACAAATCAAGGATCTGTCTGGAGTGCTGTGATGATAGTCCTTACTAATCACTAAGGATGGGTTCGAAGACCATTGTTAGAGTTGCTGAGGAAATTGCATCTGACAAAAATCAGTTTCATTTCTGTGCCATGACACTGGAGTAAAAGGAAATGAACAAGTGGACTGGTCTGCAGGCAATGGCATGGTAGAAAAAGAAAGAACCATGGACCAGCCAATGTTCTCAATGCTTTTAAGGAGGCTGAACAAGTAGATGATTCAGGAGATTGCGGTGAATCAGCAATTTTGACAACAAAATAATAACTTTATGTTGCCAGATTTGAACACACACAAAAAAAGTAAAGTCGAGAGATGTGAACCAGCGTCATTGCACACGGTTATAAACCATAAACTGTCCGCCTGTGTCGCTGTCTGCACGTAACTCTGTAGCTACAGCGATGTTCCTCCATTTACCCCAGAGTGTCAACTCTGGTACCCACTTCCTAGAGGCTGGGTGAACCCTGGAAGCTGCCCGGTTTCGAACGCCGACCGTGGCTGCAGCGAGTCGCAGCTGGATTTGAAAGCGAGCCTTGTACTGACTGTGCTAACGCTGCTCCAGAAATGAACACTGTACAGGCAGCCAAAGAAGTGTAAACCAACAAAGAACTGGTGTTATCAGTCGCCATATGCTGAGAGATGTACTGAAGATGGGATTTGAGTGCATATAGACTTGTCTGATGTACGATGAGGGTGATTAAGCAATTTATTGGCTGGCACCATTCCTTCTTTCCTGCTGACAGTTTGATTGTGCTATGAGGAGGCATAAGACTCACAGCCCATGGAGATGGCGAGTGTGACTAGCAAGACCACGCTAGGGTTGAATAAAAAAAATTTTAAAAAGTCTCCCACAGCTCCAGCGTGGGATTTTAGGACACTCATCGTCAACATTTGAACTTTGTTTCTTCTCAAACGCTAAGCTCTCATCCTATCTGCAATCACTTTTTCATTAATTCTCAGTCCCTTCCAAACAACAAATTCTGTGGCATTTTGTTTACATTAGTCCACCTCAGTACCTGTATCATTCATGTCCCTCTTACACACATCTTTATATCGTAGTAGGTTTCGCTTCAACATCATCTAACCTCTTTAGTTCACGACTGAGGATGCCCTTAGAGACTCTGCCATCCTCCATTCAACAGGTGTGACCCAGCCACCGGTAGTCCAGCCATTGTTATTCACCATGGATCCTGGATAAGTAAAATGATCAACTTTCTCCAACGCTTCACCGTCAGTGTAGACTATTCAATAGTCAATTATCTAAGTAAAGTATAATGTGCATCAAGTATGAATGATAAAGGTATTGAGATATTCATAGGAACAGGATGAGATGGACTGTTTTGCATGGAAAGGGATGGAGATGGGAGTCAGAAAAGGATTCTCAGACTCTCGTCCTATCTGGAATCATTTCTTCCTTTATCCTCAGTCTCTTCCTGATGTATCCCTTTCAAACAACAAAGTCCATAGTGAGGGATTATAATTTTAGATTATCCCACAAAAATATTGTGTTATCAGAAAATCTGGGTGTTATGTTTATAATGAATTGTTTTCTATATGGCCCGCGACCAGGTAAGTTATCCTAACAATGCGGACCAAAAATGGCTACCCACTCCTGCTCTACACACAAGTGAGTGCATATCCTGCAACTCTTGTACAGGACATCATTTACTTGCCTCTGGACATCTAATTGACAGGGACTGTGCTACCTGTGATACTTACCACCAACTGAGGGGGGAAATACTAAATTTGGCATAAGCTGTAACAATAAAAGTGAACCCATCCATATTGTGAAAATAAAAAGCCATGCGGTAAATGGCAAACTTCCATGGTAACCATGCAGCTATCCTGAACTTCAGCTGGTGAGATGCACACTGTAATGTACAATGTAACTGGAGAAGATTTGTCTTTCTGCAAAAAAGGATTAATTTTAGCACTTCACATGTCGAATTATGCAACACTGCAGTAACGCACCTGATGAGATACCATACAAAATATGCTCGACAATAAATTGTGCAATGTGCTGTCTGTATCCACTTTATTTAAATTCGCTAAAGCAAAACACTGACTTCAATAAAACAATAGTTTATTTACAAACTGTAATGCTGCCCATTGAGATAATAAAACACAAAAACGTGTTTGGGATCTCTAAAACAGCAAAAAGAACATCACAGAATCTCCCATCACTGACCTATGTACATGCAATATACAAAGTTTTAAATTTACAAATAGAGGATGTTGTTCTTCTTCACAACCGCTTTTACCAATTCAGGAGTTTAATTGGGTTGAGCTGAGTTCAGTTATGATATCACAGCACTAAGGATATTCCCATAAGTGCCCCATCTTCATCTTCAGCAGCCAGCGTAGTATTCCAATACTACTTCCCAAAAGCAGTCTGTTTGTCTATCTTGCCTTTTCCTCTGAAATCAGGTGTTGACAGGTACATGGTTCTAGTTCTGGCCATCATTATCATCATCATTCAGCAGGTGCTTTGCTCCCATCACAGCTTGACTAAAATAAGCCTGGCCTCTCGCCAGCTGGGAGATGCTGTGGCGTGACGGCTAAATACTTGCCTGTAGATCAGAAGGTCGTGGGTTCGGGTCCTGGAGGAACTGGGTTTTCTTCAAAAATGACCTTGGCTTACAGTTCAACCCAGCTTTGAGTGGGTACCAGGTGTAGTCCTGGAAAGTCAAGTCGGCCGGCGTGATGATGACCACATCACCAACCAAGTGCCAATTGGTCTATAAAATATAGATCTGGTCAGTCCTGTGTGCCCAATATGCCTGAAGGCTAGGGAAAGGGTCCCTCTCTCCAGATCTCCTACGTGGTGCACTTTCCTATCATCTGTGTCATTTATATCCTGTGCTAATTTTTATGCCAGTTGGGCCCTGCACCTCTTTCCTGGTACAATGCCTTTTGTTTATTTTTTTTGTTTCCACTCCATCACGGCGCTTGATATACTATTTGTTTCTAGATACCATGAATTATGGTACTTTAAACTGTTTACTTCTAGATATCACCATTTTTGATATTCACTTTTCAACAGATGAAAACTGGTTATAAACAATGCATCGTATACTTCCTGATAAAGAAACAAAAAAGACTTGAAATATTTAAAGTATATGTTAGTTTTACAGGTCAGTTACAAAAGTTAAAACAATAGATGTGACGATCAGCTTTTATCAGAAGATTGACAATAAGAAACATAGCAGAACGCCGCTGCTCTGCTGATAAAAGTTAATCACCACAATGTCTTTTGTTAGTCTATTGTAGCTGGACCCGTAAAGCTGACATATGCAATGTTTTTCAAATCTTTCTTTTTTATTAAAGAGTTTTATAACTTTGCTACAATAACCTTTCTTTCATATATACTTCATATCATTTCTGGTTTTGTCTACCCATACATATATATATATATTTCTGGTTTTGCTATCCATAATACTGGTTTTGTCTATTCTCATTACATGCAAAACAGATACTATTACATGAACTGTATCTTTGTCCATCTGCGGTATATGCTAAAGAAGGTTTACTATCTGCAACTTCCTCTCTTCTCTGGATTGACTTTTCATAAATAACAGGTTGCTTCTTGATGTCACTGTTGTTGTCTTTTCTTGTTACAGAAAGAACTGGCCAGAGACAGTCTATTGCCTGCTTTCAAACACTCCTTTTTATCTTAACTTGTTTATTCTGGTTACTTTGAGGACTAGCTGTAGGCAGGCAGGGCCTGGTGTTTCCAAACATCACCATTCTGATGCTGTCTCATCACATTACATGATGAACTGCTTACTTCCAGGTCTAACTGTTTCTGATTCTGTCTCCTCATATTACATGAAAAACTGCTCCTGATGTTGTCTCGTCGCATTACATGATTAACCACTTCTGATACTGACTTGCCATGTTACATGATGAACTTCCTCTAACGCTGTCTTGTCACATTACATGATCAACTGCTTCTGATGCTGTATTGTCACATAACATGATGAACTGCTCCTGATGCTGTATTGTCACATAACAATAACTGCTTACTTCGTGGTCTCTTTCTGACATTGTCTCTTCTTGTTTAACAAAGAACCCGCATCAGACAATTAATTTTTGCTTCAACCTGGTACATTATTTTCAAGCTTATATATATTCATTGATATCGAATCCCTCTGTGGTCTGGTTTTCTGTGGGGATCAAAGGGTAGGGCTCACTGTCTTCTTCTTCCTCCTCCTCCATCTGTTCAACCTCCCCATGCCTGTCCTCATCGCTGTCATCAGATATCTCCAGGTCATCATTGATGTCCACCCCTCCCTGAGCTTGGGCCTGCGCTGTGGCCAGTGTGCTGTTCTTGAAGAATTCGCTGGGGTCAAAACTGTCACCTTCCTCTTCGTACTGTGCAGTTTCGTATGTCTCTCCTGAGGAAGAATAATTTACATGGTTAATGAGAAGGCTGTTCAGAAGATTGAAAATATTTTATAAACGGTTCCTGAAATTGGCAGAAGCTATGACTAACAAAACAAATAATCCTGCATTGTGCAAACAAAAAGACCAGAAAGTAAATCTCAGAGTTCTGTGCTAATCACATGGTTGATATTGAACTTCCATTTACCAGATGTACAGTGTCCATAGAAACAATTTAATCTGTATCTGAGTTAAAGAGATTAATGTTTCTGGTTAATTATATGCTGATGGTAATTCTATAGTGATGTAACTGAGGAGATCCACAGAAATTTGCCAGGCCATTAAAATGTACAATGTATTGTGTCTGCATTATCTGAAATTTTCTTCTTTTTTCATCAGCGATCTCTGGTCTTGTGCTAAATCCACTGTGGGCTATAAACTGGGATGTCATCTCAAGATCTCTTAGGTTTCCCCAAAGCATAGTTGTCAGGTCTACTGGGTGTGGCCCCATGTTGTTTCACAGCTTCTCCAGAGGAGGACAGTCTTGCCAAGCGGGGTCTGTTCTGCACAAAGACACTAGCAGAGAGCTGTTTGGCTCATTACTAATTTACATAAGTGTCTGTTGAGTCTGCAATGCCCAGTGCATAAGAGAAACAATGTGACTTGGTCTGTTCTGTTCTATATGCACTTACAATGAGAAAACACTGTTTTGAATATTTTATTTCTTCTTCTTCTTCTTCACACTCACCTGCTGTAAACTGCGGTGAAAAGCTATCGTTGTTTGTCCATTCTGGACTTGAGTCTTGTTCCACAACCTGAGTTTTACTTGCACTTCACCATACCTTACTCACAATATCCACTCTTCCATACCTCACTCACAGTATCCATCCTTCTGTAGTACACACATAACATCCACTCCTCCACACCTCATTCACAATATCCACCGCTCCATACCCCACTTGCAACATCCACTCCACTCACAATTCCAACCCTCCATACCTCACAATATCAACTCCTTCATAACCCAGTTTCAATAACTACTCTATCCATGCTCATTACCAGCACCAACAAAACACCAATAAAGTACAACAAAAGTACAACAACAAAAGTACAACAAAATCAAGTGAGACCAGTACATACCCAGAGCTTCCTCATCACCTGTGGCAAAATACGACTGGGCATTCTCGTCAAAGTTGCCGACCTCCCCCACCTCCATGACAGCCTCCCCTGATTGGTTGAGGTCACCTGCAGGGGCAAACAAGCAATCTATTTACATGACCTAGTTACAGAAGATGTATCAACACAGCACAATCCTGAAAACAGGTATTGCGGTACAGGGAAAAGCAAAAGGTAAGGCTATAAAATGATGAAAAAAGGCAATATACACTGTCTCAAAGGTAATATCATCAATGGATACGAGAGCAAAAGGTAAGCCTATAAAATTATGAAAAAAGGCAATATACACTGTCTCAAAGGTAATATCATCAATGGATACTTTCTCAAAGGTATCATCATCAATGGATACTGTATCTGAGGTAATATCATGAATGGATACTGTCTCAAAGGTAATATCAACAATGGATACTTTCTCAACAATAACTGTATTATTAGATATTGTCTCAACAATAATCCTGTCAACGGATACTGTCTCAACAATAATCCCATGAATGGATAAAATATATATACATAATTAACAGATATTATCTCAAAAGTGCCATGGACTAGATATGTTTTCTGACACAAGGCAAACGCCACAGAAAAGTATGTTCTAGCGATAAACTTAACCATATACTTTACAGGACTTCACAAACAATCCCCAGAGACTGTCGTCTGTCAGTGGGTTTTTTCCTGGCAATTTTATGATCAATAATCTCTCATTGCTGGCTGGATGGCCAATGCTCCATACCATAATCAAACTCAATGGAAAGCTGTCTGTCTGCTGTCAAAATGGTTGCGGCTGAATCGAACCGGTATTTTGAAGTTAGAAACTACGTTCGTAACTCTTTTAAGATATAGTTGCCAACAAGTTCTACTGATAAATTTATCATTATCATTATCAGTTTCCCCTTCTGCCGTTAAGTGTTGTGGGGAGGAACAGTTTGCGATCCACTGTTTGACAGGCAGCAATGGCTACTGTCATTCCGTGTCGATGTAGAAGCTCTTTAATGTCATCAATCCATCTTCTCCTAGGCTGGCCTCTTGCTTTCACTTCAGACCCTTTCATATGTAGCGCCTGCACTGGTAGTTCTTCTGGTTGCATTCTTACTAAATGACCAAACCATTTGATCTGTTTCTCAATGCATTTGCTGCGGATGTGAAGGGTAATGAGGGAGGGGACCAAGTGGCAAACAATGTACCAAAGCATGTGGGAAGACGCGTGGACAAAGCAGATATTATCAACGCTGTAAGCATTATGTTAGTGGATAATGGGGAATCCCTGACACTAACATGATTGCGTGATATGGGAATAAAGCATGGTGAAGCATGTCTGTGCCATCTTTGAGGCCAAGAAAATATAACCAGCTTCTAATGGGAACAATTAATAGAAGTACCTTAGAGTGGCTGCTGCATCGGACTGAGCATGCATGGGGATGCCGAATGTGTACTGACATCGATTGTGATAGCATAAAATAACATTTAAAAAATAGATTGTAAACATATCAGACATGCCTTCTTGTGTTCTCGCTGTCACGGTTTGTTTCTATCTACTCTGTCACTGATAAATTAAAATGCCTAAAATGTGTGGAAACACTTCTTATGCAAAGTTGTGCCAACAAACACATAGCAAAAACCAGGCTGGCAACTTAGCATGTACAAAAGAGACTCACATGCTTAATAAAAGCAAAGACATACCAATATTGTCCACACTGGTTTCATCTTCCTCCTCCTCTTCTTCTTCTTCCTCCTCCCCATCCGAGAGGTGTAAATCTTTAGCCAGGTCATCCTCTTCTTCTTCATCCATGTCAATGTCCTGCTGTAATACAAAACAGAGAACTGTAATCAAATGTGATCAATACAAGTGAAAACTAGGCAGAGAGGTTTCGATACAGGGAGCATGTTTGTCTAGCATAAGTGTTGTTGACCAGTCCTGTCACTCACTAGTGGTAGTGGGGTTTATGGGCGAATAGATGTTTGAAGAGGCTAATCGGCACCAAATGTTCTCGAGCAGCTTAGCTGTTCATTTAAAGATCATCTTCATCGCACATCGGACATGACCATAAGTGCCCCGATCTTCTCCAGAGTATGTCTCTAAGTGATTTTAAGCTAACAACTTCTATTCTGTTCTGAAATGTGTCAGTTGAGGGATTTGATCAGAGCTTCTGGTTTGACGTTGAGGAACTGGTGCTGCTATTCTCACAACATCATAGGTCGCTGCTCCCCAATTTTGACAAAGGGTGCATAAAATAGTGTAAATAGGTGGCCTCCTTAACATCATTATTTGACATGCCAAAAAGCTTTTCCAGTTCTGGTCTGCTACCTCCCATGACTAGACCTAGAGCCTGCCATTAGAGAGGGGGGGGGTGGTGTGTGTGTGTGTGTGCGTGTGTGTGTGCGTGCGTGCGTGTGCGTGCGTGTCACACTGTCCTGCCTATGCTGTATGGTCAACTCATCTAGATATTTGCATTTCTCTTCACTGTTTCATCAACAAGTTTACCCACTAAAAGGATAATAGAAGAAATTAATATATATATATTATTATTATTTATAAGACTATCCGCATCAGTACAACAAAATTCCTAATCTGTTTAAATCACCACTGATCACTGGCATCCTGAGAACTAATAGACTGAAATGGTTGCGGCATATTGAAAGAATGTCAGATGACAGAGTTATAAAAATTGTATACACCTGGGAGATGAATGGTTGTAGACCATGAGGGAGACCAAGAAGAACTTGGAGAGATAATATCCAGACCAGGAAACATTTGGTGTCACCAACTGGAAAGAGAAGGCCAACCAGAGAGATGAATGGAGGAGGGTGATATCTGCAGCAATGAACCTCAAGGGCTCAGAATGCTAAAGAAGAAGAAGACCTAAATCAGTGATCAACATAAACAATAAACCAGCAAGTGAAAGTCATTACATGTAACATAATCAACGCTAACCTGGCTACGCTGCAGGTTGATAAGGCTTTCTTCATCCCCCTCTATATCCACAAATTCTGAATCGGACATCCCATGGCCAGTCTGTCAATAGAAAACACACAAGTTGTAGAAACACAAACTGTCTATCCGTAGTCTCTTCTGCTGCTGCTTCTTGACGTTAATCAGCTGTAAACTCCAGTGGAAAGTTTTGGTTGTCTAGTTCCTAAACTTATTTCAGTTTTGCCTGCACATCCAATTTTACAGTTCAGGCTTATCTGTATGCAGACTGTTGGTTTCTCACCTCTCAAGCAGATTCATCCCAACTTAGTTGTTTCACTCCAACTTAGTTACCTGATACAAAATCCGTATGAGTGGGCAGTGGATCTATCCCCCCCCCCCCTACCCTCAATGGAGCCCAGAACACACATCATCATGTAACAGGTCTTTTACAGAATGTAGCTCCCACCAAAGCCCACCTGAAAGAAACTCAATCTCTCCCATCTGAAAGAAACTCAATCTCTCCCATCTGAAAGAAACTCAATCTCTCCCATCTGAAAGAAACTCAATCTCTCCCACCTGAAAGAAACTCAATCTCTCCCACCTGAAAGAAACTCAATCTCTACCACCTGAAAGAAACACAATATCTCCCACCTGAAAGAAACTCAATCTCTCCCATCTGAAAGAAACTCAATCTCTCCCACCTGAAAGAAAAATCTCTCCCAACTGAAAGAAACTCAATCTCTCCCACCTGAAAGAAACACAATCTCTCCCACCTGAAAGAAACTCAATCTCTCCCACCTGAAAGAAACTCAATCTCTCCCATCTGAAAGAAACTCAATCTCTCCTATCTGAAAGAAACTCAATCTCTCCCACCTGATAGAAACTCAATCTCTCCCATCTGACAGAAATTCAATCTCTCCATCCTAAAAGAAACCCAGTCTCTCCCACCTGAAAGAAACTATATAGCTCCCACCACAGCCCACCTGAAAGAAACTCAATCTCTCTCAGATCTTCAACCTCGTGCATTTACTTCTTCAAGGTCTCTCTTATATCCTGTGTCCATCTTCATGCTGGTCAGTCTCTGCCCCTCTTTCCCTGATACCATGCCCTCCACTACTGTTTTTTCCCAATCACTGTGGTATTTTACAGGGCCAAAATATTTCAATTTCCGAGACAAGATGCTGTTTACAAGCCAATTTTCCTTGATGTTCAGATCTTATAGAATATTACTCAGATAAAATACAGTTATTATATACTGGTGTTTTTTTCTCAACTTACCTTGGAGTATTCTCTTCCGTCACGGAAGTGTGGCATAGCTGAGTTTGTGTCATCCTCGGCAATGGTGACATTGTCCTTTGTGCCAATGCTGAATCCGTCCAAGCTCTCCGTGTCCGCACCTGTGTAGGACACAACACCAAACTTTGTGTCACAAAGAGGCCAACACAAAGGAAACACTACAGCATACTAAACCATTTACAAGGCATCTTGCTGGCCAGATTTATCCAGGATGGGATATAACTTTTAAATTTAAAGGACATGGTATTTTCTCATTTTATGTTAAACAAACATACAAACAAACTTCTACTTCTTCTGCAATCATTCCTGAAAGGGTGGCTGGCAAGTGGTGTTGTGCTTTACAGCTAGGCTGTGATATCTGCACCTTTTAGGCCAACACATACAATTTCAGTAAATTCTTCAGACACATTTTACGACATGCTTCTTAGGGAGCAGTGGGTTTATTATTTACCCAAAACTGAGGCCCAAAAACCCAAAACCAGGAACAAACACAGTCAGCATTTGTGTCTAGGGGGTTATGACTGCGGTTTCAATATTCTAATATCCCCGTTTGGGTTCCCTGAGCCCCATAATGGGGAAAACAAGAATAGACCCACTGCCTTCCCAACAAGCATGTCATGAGAATCGACTAACTGGGTGCTTCCTTTGAAGTCGGAGTGCATCTGCCTGACAGGCAAGGAACCAACAGTCTGCATATACATAAGTCAGATCTGTAAAACGGATGTGCACGTTACACTCAGGTCCTAGAACAAGTGTAAAGTCCAGAAGTAGTTGAACAACCAGAACTTTCTGCCAGAATTTACAGCCGCTGAAAGTGAAGAAGAAGGAAAATATTCTGATATAATAGATTTAATTCAGCTGCAGGCTGTTTAGCAGCAGACTGCTTTCTCTTCATTTCTTTTTTTTTTGGCATTCACTAGCTGTAAACTCCAGCGGAAAAATTCTGGCTGTCATCTACTCCCGGACTCTGGTCTTGTTCCAGAACTTCAGTTGTGTCTTCACATTCATTTTATAGATCTGACTTATTTGTATGCAGACTGTTGGTTGCTGGCATCACAGTTTAATGCACTCCAATTTCAGAGGGATACACACCTAATTATTCAACCTTTAAGACACACTTGTTGGGAGGTAGGCACTGTAGGCTATTCTTTCCTCCGTCCCCTGTCCCAATAAATGGCGCCCTGGAACCCACACAGGTAGTGTTGGTTTCAACAACAATAACGGTGCTGACTTTTCAGACAGCAATGACAAACTACTGAATAAAATACTGCCTAGTAAAACCACAACCAGTCCATACATGATGGCGTCTGCTGTCACCGAAGACAATCTATTTGACTCCAAGATAATATATTACATTTAGTTCTGTTTCATTTATGTTACTTAACATACTTAATTTTTTTTAATAATCTTGAGCCAATTTAAAAAAAAAAATATTTTTTAAAAATACTTATTAGTGACTAGCTGTACCCGGCCACGCGTTGCTGTGGCGTAATTTGAGATAGTCTTTGATTCCCCCCCCCCCCCCCATCCCCACAACTAAATCCACCTAGTACCCTCTCCCTCATCAAAGGTTTTTTAGAAAAGAAAGACAATGGAAATCGCACCTGTCTAATGAAGTTAATGACGCTGTCAATGTCTGCGCTGACGTCGAGATAGTCCTTGATTGCCCCCCCCCCCTCCTCCCCCCATCGAAGGTTGTTTGAAAAAAAACAACAGAAAATAGAAATCGTGTTTAATATGGTTATTGTGGCAAATATAGAGATAGTCTTGTTTGCTGTACCACGACCTACTCTATGTATTAGTATTAGAGAAGGCGTTGGCTGCACGTAACTCGACGGCGAATGGTAAATACGGTGCATGCGCAATTACTAACGTGGCTATAATTAGAAATCACTAAAGTTATAAATATTAGTTGCGTATATTTTGGCATAAATTGTGGTCACCTATCTCTAACAGCGACAGGTTGAATTTCAAACCACGACGGTTCAAAATCCGGTATCACAACAAACATATCCTGAAAATTTCAGCTAAATCGGTTCAGTAGTTTCTGAGTCTATAGAGACCAAACAAACACACAAACATTGATTTTTATATATATAGATTTGTGTGAAATGGCTTTTTTATTTTTTTTTACTTTTATTTTTCAAAGGTTCTTTCCCGGGAATTCCCACGTTCTAGTATTTTCCTCCAAAAGATTTCCGGGACGAAAGGGGTTAAAACACAAAAGATGCCACAATGTCAGTTAATCACAAATCAAACTAGGGAACTGCATAATACCACAAAAACAAATTGTAAACCGAACGTAAAATTATAAAATAACAACACAACAAACCAAAATGACCATGAACCTAAAACAAATCATCATTCACAAGCTTCAGTTGTGTTAACAACCGATATCACAGTGCTCCAGACATTCTCATAAGTGCTCTCTCCCCATCTCCAGCAGCTAGCGAGAGTTCCAATGCAATGGAATCTGAAGCAGTCTCATTTTGTGCCCATATTGCCTTTACTCTGAGTGCAGAGTGTCAGCCGGATCCCCAAGTCACTAACTCCTGCATCATTCTCTGCACACTGAGATGAACTATTTGTGCTTCTGAACTGCTCACTTGCTTCCAATAGGCCTTGAGTTATGAGTTAGATTATCTTCACAGCACTCCAGACACATCCATAGGCGCTCAGATTCCCCTCTCAACATATTCATCAGTGTTGTGCGGTTAATAGTACCAGTCCTATGTTGGTTAACAAGACTTTGTGTGCCTCCAGTGTGCTCCTCATGCTTGGCTGTGCGGATCTTTATTCCCAATTCGCGTATTCTTAGCAGTGATGTGGACACGTTGCTTCCAAAATCCTCAGAACGTCCTAACTCTCTAAGGTCAATGACAATGTCTGCGTGATCCATGAGCCGGCCATCTTCAATTAATGCAGCAACTGCCAGTCTATCAGCTCTCTCATTACCAATAACGCCTGCATGCCCTGGGATGAATATGAAGGTAACTGCACACACAGGAGTTTTTTGCAATGACTCAAATCAGTCTGCATAACCAGCCTGCCTCGACCCGCCAGAGGGCCTTGACCACATCTAGCTTGTCATGCATCAGTTCACCACTCATTGGTGGAGTACCAGCCAAAGTCTGTTGTTCATTTTTCAAAACACCAGCTTGCCCTGGAGAAAACATCCCAAAGTACCTAATGGGGACATCTGAAATGACACTTGTCACTCTGCATCAGTTCACCACTCACTGGTGGAGTACCAGCCAAAGTCTGTTGTTCATTTTTCAAAACACCAGCTTTCCCTGAAGAAAACATCCCAAAGTACCTACTGGGGACACCTGAAGTGACACTTGCCACTCTGCATAAAGAATGCCTTTCCTCACCTTACTCAGCAGGTTGTGAGTCAATCACAACAGTGACCATTTATGAAGCTCATGGACAAACATCAGTTAACTGTACATAACTGCCAGCAAACAAATAATCATCACAAGTGACTGCAACGAACCAAGTAACAATGGACAGTTACCTAGGACACTGCCATCATCCCTGTTCAAAGACGTACCAGTCATACTATCTGTATCTGCTGCCTCCAGGGCTGCTTCCTGCGATGCCCGGATGTCTGCTTCTAGTTGTGCAATGTGTTCTTCATTCTGTGGATAAAACAATTTCAAAGTAAAGGTAACTGTAGGCATCATCATCCAGAAAACAGTACACAGCAAAAGACAAAATGGAAACAAATCAAAAAAAAAAAATGTTCTTACAAAAACTTGAACATAAAAATGTTTTGTTAAATAAGTACTGGTGTAAGAGTCCTCTAGCTTGAGAACTTAAGGCTGCATGGTTAGTACAGTCGCCACAAACTGTGCAGGTTAAGAATACATTTTTGGGAAAGCTAACCTAGTCAATAACTGCCTGCAGAAGTCGAATGTGCTGGCTGAAGGGCGAAAATATCACAGCCATGCTGTAAACAGGCACACTGCAATTACATCTCCACATGACCGAAGAAGAAGAAGAAGAAGAAGAAAATTTTGCCCTCTATATAAAAAATGTCATTATCTTAGCAAGAAATTGTATTGAGGTCCCCACAGTGAGAGCTTAGCATTTTAACTGTCTGGCCAGGAGGGAATATACTCTGGGCAAAAAATGACAGCCTGGCATATTTTGTCAGCGCCTTCAAAAAACGCCACAATTTCTTGCACGGTGAGACTCTCTTACCACTTCTCTGTCATTGGGAATGTTACGTGGTGGGTCCCAAAACTCTACCATGGTGAGACTCTCTTACCACTTGTCATTGGGAATGTTACGTGGTGGGTCCCAAAACTCTACCATGGTGAGACTCTCTTACCACTTGTCATTGGGAATGTTACGTGGTGGGTCCCAAAACTCTACCATGGTGAGACTCTCTTACCACTTCTGTCATTGGGAATGTTACGTGGTGGGCCCCAAAACTCTATCATGGTGAGACTCTCGACCTAATGTTCGTATATAACATGAGAGCTTTTTTTTTTATAATAAACAATCTTTAGTAGGAATCAAACCCTAGTTCTCAAAGTTTGTGAAATTGTTGAACACATTCACTAACCTTAAGCCACAAAACCAAACTTTTAACTCTTTCGATATCAAACAAAACACTGTGCATGTATGAGTTATGGAATTTATTTGTTAACCTTCCCTAACCCTTTTTGTTCCATACATACTTCTTCTTCTTCATATTCACTACTTTGCATTCACAAGCTGTAAACTCCAACTGAAAGTTCTGGTTGTTCATTCACCTCCAGACTTCAGTCTTGTTTCAAAACCTCAGTGTTGTATGTATAGCCATTTTACAGGTCTAGCTTATTTGAATGCAACCTGTTGGTTCCTTGCCTTAAGGCAAGAGTAAAATCAGCATTGCAGTCAAGGTCAATATTTACAAAATCACTGGTATTGTCTATTTTCTTATATGTGTGTGAGAGTTGGACTCTCACTGTGGAAATGGAAAAGAGGATTAAGACTTTTGAATGTAAATGCTACAGACGCATTTTACGAGTTATTTAGAACACAAAACTAATAAATATGTCTGAGACAAAATATACAAATTTGCGGGACATCAGGAGCCTCACTTGGCATTGGTGAAACGTCGCAAGCTAGCTTGGTTTGGGAACGTGGGGGGGACATGATTTGATTGCAAAGACTGTACTTTAAGAAACATTGGGGGGTAGTCGAAGAAGAGGGCGAAGAAGAATCTGGAATGACAACATCAAGAAATGGACAGGACTAAGTTATCATACACTTATTTGTCAAGCGTAAGACAGAGAAAAATGTGGGGTTTTATGTGCTAGTGCTTCCATCAATTCACCTTCACGACCCTAATGGGTCAAGGGTTATGTTATGTTATTCAATTAGTTGACTCCTACGACATGCATATAGGGAAGGCATGGGCCTTTTCTTGTTTTCTCCATAATGGAGCTCTGGAACATACACTGGGAGTTAGTTCCATAAAACACACACACACACACATAATTAACCTAAAGGCAGTCCTTTTTAGTAATTTTATCTTCTCACTTCAATTACATCTGTTACTATGGACCATTCAGTTCAATTTGCTGCTTATCTCTGATTATTGAAGACAAGTATAATATTACAATAATAAGTATATGAGATCAATGATTTCGGCTGTTTTTAATCATGGCAAGTTTTTGCATCTGATAACAGTTAGCAGTTGGATTTTACTCCACATGTAGACTGATAGGATAGAGTTCTATCACCCAGCTACTGAGATGAGTGCTGTGACATTGCAACACTGTGAACTGCAGATTTCATTTAGAATGCTTTCCAGCTTTGCCTATTGTGGTGTGTATTGTGAACTGCATATTTAGAAAATGCGAGTGACCTGTTGCCAGAGAACTTATGGTGACTTATACGATTTACTGTGTGTGCATTTCAGTCGCTTCCTGCAGGCGCCACCGTGCTTGCCTGTTCGCGTTCTCCTTGTCCGTCTACGGGTTTTTTTTTAATTGGTAAATAGTCGCCATCGGACGTTGAATACACCCTGAGGGAAGTCTGAACTCACATGCATGTACTCCATTGCACGGTTCAGACCCCATTCCGATGAAACTTTCACATTATACGTGAGCGAAAATAGTTAATTTGCGCCATTTGCCTCAACGGACGAAAAAGTGTACCGCCATTGTGGCTGTTTACACCGGAATGAGGTATCTACTTGACTTTCCAACAATGAACCAAAGGATCAGGATGTGCAGGGCTCGGGCATACCTCAAAATATGTGCTGATAAGAAACACCCACTGCATCAAGCGCTTTTTAGTGAAAAGGGCTACAGACTGAAGAGGGGAAAATCGTGGCTAGGTCGGGCAGAAAATATCATTAGGCAAATATGCAGCCTAACCGACATCATACCTGGTGCAGAATGGATACCTGTGCCTCAGGCATTTATTTGTACATTTTCCTGTATTGTCACACTCAATAGGCGATGTAGAGAAGAGAATCCTGTTGCTGTTAATGCAGAGGTCAACGCTCTCATCGGTGAAAATTCAGACGAAGCAGATGCACTAATCTATACAGACGGATCCGTTATACGCCAAAGAAGAAGCGCATGGGCATTTACAGCATGCTAAGCGGGCAGAACAGTCAAAGAAGCCAACGGCGCCTTCTCCATGACAACCAGCAGCATGACGATGGAGGTGATGGCAGTGACGCAAGCGTTTGCCTGGCTTGAAACACAAAAATACACCCGCATATGTATACTCAGTGATTCAATGAGTATGATCCGGAGGGTTCAGGCAGGTTCAGTGCGAAGACAATGGCTTGAATCAATTCAGAAGTCCACTGTGCGTGGAGTCACCTTTATTTTTGTTCCGGGACACGCAGGCGTCGATGGAAATGAAAGAGCTGACAGGTTGGCTGGATCCGCTATCACTACCGACGGTCGGCCTATGGATCATGCTGATATTATCAATGCCCTCAGAAAAATGGGAAGGATAGAGGACTTTGGTGGCAGTGAATCCACATCACTCGCCAGAATGGCAGACTTGGGAATTAAGATCGGCACAGCAAAAAACGAGGCGCACACCGGACACGTCAGAAGACTTGTTAATCAACATAGAACTGGTACTATTAGCCATCGGACGTTGGGGTTCATACTGAGGGAAGGAACTGAGCACCTATGGACATGTCCGGAGTGCAATGATGATAACCCAACTAACTAACTAACTAACTAACTAACTAACTAACTCTGTGTGCAACTACTGATCTGTTGTAACTGTTGCTATCATCGACTGTTGCATTTCTATTGTAAGGCTGTTTATGCCGGCACTTCTCACAGCTGCCTTGTGCATTTAATGCACGTCTGCTGTTGGATTTGCTAAGACTGAAGTGCATCCATTTTTGTCACAAGGGAAAGTGATAGACATTCTGTGTGATTTTCATTGGCACAGGAATGGAGCAACTCTGGACTATGAAGTTGTAACTATTATCTAATATGGGACTGAAAGAGTTAAAGTGATTAGAATATATTTAAAAAACAAAATGCAGGCAAACCAAAAGACACAAAGAAAACCACAATCTACGATAAGAGCTAAGCAACACGTGGGTGCGGTTACTGACTTCTTTCAGCTCCTCCTTCATGACTTCCATCAGTTTACGGGCAGTGTTGGTGACCGCATGGTCGGGCCCATTGTACTGTAGGCTGTTGGTGTACAAGAGCTCTGCATCTTCCACAAAATGGTCCTTGCTCTGGTATTTGTGTGACTGGACATTCTGAAAGCATTAGGTAAAACATGGTATTTAGAGCAGCAAACATTTGTTAACAACAATGGTGTGTGTCACTTGTATACACATAGATACTGAAAGAAAGGGGGTCAGAATGATAATGGAATGAGTGGGATTGGAACATGAATGTATGAATATTAATGCCTCAATTATCTCATGATGAATATTTGAGGAGACACGAGCTCAAAATACTAGCTGAGAATGGGGAAGGTCGCATCACTTGTAGTACCCGAAAACTGTACTGAGCGTTTGCGCGCTGTTCAGCATGGCAAAAGAGATGTACACGTACTGAAAGGGTAGGTAGGGTAATGAAGAGAACAGCTCAGAAAAAAAAACATACATATATATATATATATATATATATATATATATATATATATATATATACACACACACACACACACATATGTGATTAGTGAGACATGCTGGCGTTGTTGTGTATGGATGCAGGTTATCATCTCCAAGTTGTGGAGATTAACAGATATTTTGAATTCTTTGCCGATCATTTTGATGATGTGTTCAGTGAGTTCTGATTGCGTCGTTATGTATAAACGTCCCAAGTTAACAGCTTCAAGTTGTGGAGATTGATAAATAGTTAGGACTCTGTGCCAGCTGTTTTGATGATGTCTTTAATAGCAAATAACAGCACCACAGGGAAGTCCCCTTATCCTGACACTGTCTCTAAGACTGTGTACCCACACAAGGTGCCTTCCCTTCTCCACCGCAATAAGATGCAGGTGGGATTTCCCCCCTCATTGAGATGTGAGGCCACAATGGCATTTCATGTTTTCTCTGAGTACTTTTAAAGGGCTATTAATTTAAGGGAATAGGTAATAAATGCAAGGAAAAGGATGGTATTTATTGGACAAGATGTTTTAAAATCAGTAAAAAAAGCAGTTTTATGGGACATTTTTTATAAACTGAGAAAAGACTATATTCAAAAGACTACTACTAAAAAAAAATTTTTTTTAAAAGATACAATGGTATTAAAGTGGCTGACGTATAAAATGGGCCAGGTTCACTAGGAATTCCTGGACAATACCTTTAAAAAAAACCTTTTACACAAGTGACTAACCAATTTTTTTTACAATTTTTATCTAAACTTTTTTGATGTTTTCAAAATGTACAAAGATATACAAAGTGAATGGAATACATTTTTCACGGCTTTAAAAAAATGTTTTTCAATGATCCGGGTCACGACCCTATGTCCAAATCACTGACGCCTCTGGGAAATTATGCAGTCATAAGGTCTTTTAAAAAGTCATGCGACTGATAGAGAAAATCCACTAAATGTTATTTTTTTAGTAAATATAGTCATATCCTTTCCTAGTAAACACCACCAGGACCAACACACACATTTACACAAAAATGTGTCTACTAGACATCTTGTCAAACATGATGCCACTTTAGTAAGTAAAGTAAAGGACCCTTTTCCACGCCTTTAGGCGTGTAGGGCATATAGGGCTAGACCTATATTTTATAGACCAATCGGCTAAAGATGGGTGATGTCAGCATCGCACCGGCCTGCTTTACTTCCCGGAACTGTACCCAATACCCACTCAAGGCTGGGTCGCCCTAAGAGACAAGATACCACTTTAGACAAGCTGGAAAAGCAGCATTTTAGGGGAGCCTGAACCTTCCGGATGTTTTGCAGCTTCTGAGGGCAAAAGAGTTAGAAGAGACTATACTTTTTTGTAAGGGACAATATGGTATTTATCTCTGAGTATAACCCAAGCCTTTCCACAAAGTGCGCAGATTCCCTAATGCTAGATGACCTACCTTCAACAAAGTGAACCAATCCACTACTTCTAGATGACTTACCTTTAACAAAGTGGACAGATCCATTGGTTTTTGGATGACTGTGTAATAATCTTTGACCGCCTTCTTGTTGACTGGTGTATGGAATGGCCAGGACTGTTGACAAAGCAACATCAGAAGCCAAAAAGATTAGATATTAGCTGATCACTGTTCATATTCTTCATTTTAGTATATTCTACCTAGTCTTACATTACTTCAAACACAGAATGAATGCAACCTATTCATAAACACTGTGTTGTCTATGCTTAGGTAATGAAACATTCAATACTGAGTCGATGAGAAAGCTTTCAATGAGTCGGTCAAAGTAACCCAACCAGCCAATAAGAAAGCCAACAGACAGACCATAAGTCAGTCAGATATTCAGTGAGCCAGTCAACCACACAGTCTATCTAGTGAACCAGAGAGCCGCCAGTCAGTCAATCAGACGGTCAGTGTGTAGACTAGACAATCAATGTGTCTGTCAGGCAAGAAGTTAGTCAACGACACAGTTAATGAGTCAGTCAACCAGACAGTTGGTGAATCAGTAAAACAAGACAGTCAGTCAACCAGACAGTTGTTGAGTCAATCAAACAAGATAGACAGCCAATCAGTGAGACAGTCAACCAGACAGTTGGTGAGTCAGTCAAACAAGATAGACAGTCAACCAGACAGTCAGTGAGCCAGTCAAACAGACAGTTGGTGAGTCAGTCAAACAAGACACACAGTCGACCAGACAGTTGGTGAGTCAGTCAAAGAAGATGGACAGTCAACCAGACAGTCAGTGAGCCAGTCAACCAGACAGTTGGTGAGTCAGTCAAACAAGACACACAGTCGACCAGACAGTTGGTGAGTCAGTCAAAGAAGACAGAGAGTCAACCAGACAATGAGTCAGTCAACCAGACAGTTGTTGAGTCAATCAAACAAGATAGACAGTCAACCAGACAGTCAGTGAGCCAGTCAAACAGACAGTTGGTGAGTCGGTCAAAGTAACCCAACCAGCCAATAAGAAAGCCAACAGACAGACCATAAGTCAGTCAGATATTCAGTGAGCCAGTCAACCACACAGTCTATCTAGTGAACCAGAGAGCCGCCAGTCAGTCAATCAGACGGTCAATGTGTTGACTAGACAATCAATGTGTCTGTCAGGCAAGAAGTTAGTCAACGACACAGTTAATGAGTCAGTCAGCCAGACAGTTGTTGAGTCAATCAAACAAGATAGACAGTCAATCAGTGAGACAGTCAACCAGACAGTTGTTGAGTCAGTCAAACAAGATAGACAGTCAACCAGACAGTCAGTGAGCCAGTCAAAGAGACAGTTGGTGAGTCAGTCAAACAAGACACACAGTCGACCAGACAGTTGGTGAGTCAGTCAAAGAAGACAGTTAGTGAGTCAGACAACTAGGCAGTCAGTGAGTCTGTCAATGAGACAGTTCGTGAGTAAGTCGACCATAAAGTCAGTGTGTCTGCCTCCTACTTACCGTTTCTATGGCTTTCATGGAGTTAATGACCTTCTCGAAGATGTAGGACAGAGCCACCTGGTCATTGTCATCCAGGAGGGGATTGATGGCTTTCTCTAGTCTCATCAACTTCTGCTCTTTCTGCAAACGAAACAGTACAATTATTTTTCTGAAGCCTGCATCCTGAGCACACTCCTTTACAGTAATCAGTGAAACCTAGACTCCATATGCTACTAAATCAAACAGACTGAATACCTTTCACATAAGCTGTGTGTGATACATTCTTGTTATATCATGGTGAAACTTTGCTCCTTAACGAATGTGTACTCAGAGATTTCCGGTCAATATGGTGGGCAGACAGGTTTGGTGTTTTTAGTTGTAGCAGGTTTTTGCTTCTGACAATAGCTGGCCATTGCATTTTTCTCCACATGCAGACTGAATGATAGCTTCATCGCCCAGCTACTGAACTGAGTGCATGGTGCAACACTGTGAGCTGTGGATTTCATTTGGGATGCTTTTTGACTGTGACCAACATTGTTTATGTTGTAAACAGTAAAGTAAAGTAGATCCCTTTTCACACCTTTAAGCGCTTCGGGTTAATGGGAAAAGCACCTATATTTTTTCAGGCCTTCGGCACTAGGTGGGTAATGTGGTCATCATTACGCCGGCCATCTCTACTTCCCCAGGACAGTCATCCTGGTACCCATTTTAGGCTGGGTCGACCTGCGACGCCCCATACCACGATAAAAATCCATGCGTTGTGAACTAAAGATTCATTAAATGACGAGTGGCCCGTTGCCACAGAACTGAAGGTGCCTTATGTATGATAAATGATGTGTGCAGCTACTGATCTGTTCTTACTGCTGCTTCCACTGGTGATTAACTGCAAATTTATATGTCAGACTTCTTGTGTTTGCACTTCTGATGGCTGCTAGATTAATGCATGTGTATGCTAATGAATTTACTAGGACTGTGGTCTGTGTTAATTTTTCCGCATGGGACAGTGATGAACACTGTGTGTGGTTTTCTTTGCCCAAGGAACGGAGCAATTATGAGGCGACCCGTTTGCTATGAAGTTGGAACTACAATTACATGATTACCTATGTACTCAAAAGAGCAGGAATGGCAACAGTGTACTTTCTAATGAAGCAAAGATGCCTGTGCTGGTTGGGACACGTCTCCCAAATGGAGGACAGTTGTGTTGCAATGTTTTTATGTAGTTTCTGTGGCAGAGACTGCCACTCCTGCACATGACTTTAACTGTGATCTATCTGCAAACATAATTATAATATATAATACAATTGCAATTAACACTAGTCTGAATTGTAAAGTATATTCTCACATACAAAAGTTGCCTTACCTCTGCAAACCTCTTGAAACAATGATCCAATAATGCCTGGGCACTTAAGGTTAACAAATGTTGCCCTCCTGAAACCATGCAATAAAACATACAACATTACATTTATATGTCACACAGTTTAGTGATGTAATCTAGCTAAACAGACAACGTAGCCTTTCAATTATTTTATCCTAAAATAATATAACATCACATAAACTCACTCATACTTTCCCTGTACTGCAGTCATTTTCCCATTCCCTTCTATCCTGTGCAATCCATCTGATATCTGCCTAAGAGGCAAGGAACCAGCAGTCTGCATACAAATGAGTCAGATCTGTAAAATGGATGCACACACAGCACTCCGATTCTGGAACTGGACTGCAGTCCAAAAGTGGATAAACAACCAGAACTTTCCACCAGAGTTTACGCGAAGAAGAAGAAGATCAACAGGAAGAAGGAGAAGGAGAAGAAGGAGGAGGAGAAGAAGAAGACTTTGATATCATAGATGAATCCAGTCCAGCACCTCCGGCCTCCTCTCATCAACCATCACCCTAGTATTTCTGCTTCTGGTTTCCTCAATCCATCTATTCCCCATTTCAGAGCCTGTTTTGTGATTCTCTGTTAGTCACTTCTCAGAATGTCCAACACAGCGCCATCTTTTCTTTTTATAACCTCATACTAGTGGTTCCCCCTTGTGGGTTCCGGGGCTCCATTTTGGAGAAGAAAGAATAGACTCCCTTAATAAGCATGTCACAGGAGGTGACAAATTATGAATGTTTCTTATGGTCGTAGTGCATCTGCCTGATAAACAAGGAACCTACCGTCTGCACACAAATCAGCCAGATCTGTCAAATGAATCTGCATGCAAAATTAGAGTTATGGAACAAGACTAAAGTCCAGAACTTTCAGCTGGAGTTTACAGCTAGAACTTAGAAGAAGCAGAAGAAATTTTTCTTTTCATTTCTCTTGAATTCATCCCATTTTATGCTCATCATTTTCCACAAGCTTTTGATTTAGAATACATTCAACGTTCATTCCATTTGGCATATTATGCAGCGTGGTCTCAAAGCATGGTGTCTGCCTTGAGTGCTAGAGGTTCCGGGTTCAATTCCCAGTAAGGGCTTGGATTTTTTCGCGTTGACTTGCACTTCCAGTAGTTCCTCCTGGTCTCTGTGTAGTGAGATCGGACGCCCGTGTGCATTGTTGCGCACGTAAAAAATCCCTTGGCGGTTGGAAATCAAAAAGAGTAGCCTAACGGCGCTGCCTGGGCTAAATTTGGAGTTAGAAATCTGCCCAAAGTATTTCAGGATCCTTGCCAGTGCTACAGAGACTGTGCACTGTGCTGAGCTTCTTCGGACTCAGACTTGAGTAAGAAGTAGAACGGAGCACTTATGGCTTACTACCCGTGTGCCATGTTGATCCATTGTTCAAAAAATCAAAACCTCATTTTATGCTAGATTTATATTGTATAAAACAGCTGGCACTTGATGTGTGGTGTGGTTAACATCACATCGGATGAGGAAAAGGCATCCACAAACAGCACCCCTAGGCTTTAATGGATGACCTGCTTATCCATCACACTGGGCCAGAATTCCACATATACAAGAAATGCAGAAATTATATTGGAGACAGAAGAAATACTACAGATAAAGGAAATACTGTACTCAGAAGAAAAAAAATGTACTTCTGACAAGAAAAATAGAGTCATAAGAAATTCTGCAGACAAAAGAAATACTGCAGACAGAAAAATACTGTTTTAAAAAAAAAAAAGAGATAAATGCATATATCAGAAATACTTCAGACAAAATAATACTGTTCAAAGGAAAAAATGCGGACATTAGAAATACTACAGAGGAGAAAAAACAACAAACGAGTATATGAACAAATAATGACACATGAAACACACAGCATGAAAGACTCACCATTGTACAGCTTGCTGTTTTCCACAATCTGATGCAGATCTGTGAGGAAATCCTCCCGTGAGCGATACCTCTTCTGTCTCACTTGCTGAAAATACAAGAAGAAGCTTCTGTCAATGTTAGATCAACAGTGGCGTAGTAGTAGAACATACATCTCCAACCTGAGCAGATCTAGTGTGATTCATGATATGGACAACATAGGTCTTGCAAAAAATATGAAACCAGAGGATGGCATACTTCCCACAATTAAAATTCATTGAGTCTCTGGAGATGTGGAATTACAGAAGAATCAGTTGTATTTCATGGAGCAGAAAAATTAACTAGACATTATGAAAAGATTAGGAATGAAAAGATAGTTGCTGAAAGAAATTATACTTGTGTGGGTTCCGGGGCCCTACTGTGGGGAAAACAAGAACAGACTGGCTGCCTCCCCACAAAGCATGTTGTAGCAGTCAATTAACTGGGAGCTTCCTTCAAAATTGGCGTTTATCTGAGTGGCAAAGAACAACCAAATGCACACAAGTATGCCAGTAAAAGCAAATTGTAAAAGGTGACTAATTACAGGTTTGCTGAAACCGGATGTGTTGGGCCAAAAGAATTAGATATTGCAGCCTTGCTGTAAACCATAACATGATGTGCCACCACCCCTTTAAAGGTGAGTGCAGCAGAAGAAGAAGGGCGGAGGAGGAGAAGAAGGTCAATGACAGTGATGGGAAAATTTGTGCAGTTATTAGATTTTCTACAAGTACATGCAGAAGCCCCAGCACTTCTGCTTTAGCTCATTATTGTTGCCGACCTCAGTGATGCCAAATTGTCTTCTCCTGGCCAGACTGCCTTCTTCTGGCCAAACTGCTTTCTCCTGGCTGAATGGCAGTCACAACAAAGCTGTGATAACCATATATGGTACTGGCTGAGCAATGCTTCAGGTTTCATTTTAAAAAGTTAGTAAAAAAAAAAAATAAACTGTTCATGCCAGTGGTGCAATCGGGCGTATGATGCTAACCTCATATATTTTATAAACCAATCAGCACTCTGTAGATGATGTGGTAATCATCACAACACTTTAGTCTGCCATGATCTACAACAATCAGTTTGGCTCAAGTTTACCAAACTTCAGTTAAATCACACAATGAACAAAAATTGTCAAAAAAAGTTCTTCATTAGATCTAGAGTGAGACAGGATGTGTTCTATCACCACTACTGTTCATCACATACATCCACCAAATTTGCAAATCAGCTAACACCAGCCAAGGGGAAAACATTGGAGAATTACTAAATGAATTGCTTTTCGCCGATGACCAGGCAATCATAACACCAACAGCAGTACAACTACAAGAACATATGAGAATGATGTGAAGATTAACATAGACAAAACAGAAGTGATGAGATTCTCATCAAGGAAGAACCACCATTTTCAAGCTGGTGAACACCAGTTAAAGCAGGCAAAGGATTTTACATATCTGGGGAGCATTTCTTCAGAAGATGGAAGAATTAATGAAGAAATCCAGCAAAGATGCAATAAATCTTCTCAAATTTTAGGCCAAATGGAACCAATTCTGAAATGCAAGCATGTGAATATGAATACTAAAAGAGCACTGTTCAACACAGTATTCTTACTAACGCTATGCTATAAAATTGTCAAACATGGACACTGTCTTCAGACGACAGAAGGAAAATAGTCTTTCAGACATGAAATGTTTACATATTATGCTAGGTGCAATGAGGAAAGATCGGCTTAGGAACGATGATATCAGGAGGAGAGTTGGCACAGAATCAATACAGAACTTTATATGTAGATAACAAATCAAATGGTTTGGCCATGTAACACGATTGGCATCAGACAGGGCACCACAGAGAGCAATGTTACAGAGATACAGGGGTAACAGAGCCAGAGATGACCATGCAGAAGATGGATCACAAACACTGAAAAGTACTTTATACAAAGCGAACAAAAGGGCCCGTTCCAGAGATCTCTTTCTGCTCCGACGCTGTGAGTCATTCCAGGAGTAGAGAAAAGAAGAAGAATGAACAAAATCAGCATGCTTACCTCTCTCATCGTCTGCATATCCATGGGGCGTTTGATAATCCTGTAGTAGTCAGGTACCTCCTTCTGGTTGACAGGGAACAAGAACAGCTGGATCTGGAGAAGGGCAAAAGAAAAGAGACTTGATCAATGATGGAACTTGACCTATAGATCTGATCAATGGTATAATTTGATAAACAGTTTGATCAATGATAGAAGCTAATGAATAATCATGGATAATAAAACTTGACGTACAGACTTGATGGAACCTAAAAAAAAAAAATATATCCTGAATAATGAAATGATGTATAGACTTGACCAGTGATAGGATTTGATGTACAGATTTGATCAATGATGGAAGCTAATGAAAAATATATCATGAATAATGAAATTATGCACAGACTTGATCAATGATTGAACTTAATTTTTTTTAAATCCTAAAAATGAAATGATGTACAGACTTGACCAGTGATAGGATGTTGAACAGACTTGACCAGTGATAGGATGTTGTACAGACTTGACCAGTGATAGGATTTGATTTAAAGACTTGATCAGTGACAGGAAGGATTTGATGTACAGACTTGACCAGTGATAGAATTTGATGAACAGACTTGACCAGTGATAGGATTTTATGAACAGACTTGACCAGTGATAGGATTTGATGTACAGAACTGACCAGTGATAGAATTTTATTAACAGACTAGACCAGTGATAGGATTTGGTGTACAGACTTGATCAGTGAAGGGATTTGATGTATAGACTTCAAAAGTAGAACTAGATGTGCATTCTTCATTCTTAATAATATTAGATGTAAAAACTTGATCAGTGATAGAACATCAAAGCAATTATATTTTATCTTGACTGAAATTGATTTATACACTTAATGAGACATAAAACATAATGCATTGATTAGACTGAATAAACTTTATTTTAAATAGTTAAGAACTGGGCATGCAGACCTGTCTAAGACAAACAGAAGGCGAAAAAGATTCACACAATTCAAGAAATGGGTTTTTAACAACTCTTTCACCAAGCTACCCCCCCCCCCCCCCCCCCCCTACCTAATGACCCCATTGGAATTCTTTTAAAAAAAATGTATATATGTAACTAATAAAAAAAAATATATAAGAAACAAAAACTTACCTATAAACATTTTAACAAAAATATGAAAATGTTGGCTTCCCAGGGTGACTGGGTTAAGCCATAACTTTGCTACTTACATTTCGACTACTTACATCAGGCAAACTTCTCAGTTCATTCAGGATGCTTTCAAATATGGAGGACAGCGTGACCAGTGGGTCAGTTCTCCGTCTGTTTGATGACTGTTTAGGTTTCTGTAGTGGGGGGAAAATTAATCAACAATTATTAGTTCTACATCTCCACACTGCTGATCAGAGTGGTTTGATCACAACTCTACATCCAACATCAATCTCTAATAGTGTAAGAACAACTGTGGTATACCCCATCAACAGCTACAAACGTTTTAGTACAAAATAACTTTGATTAACTGACACTCATTTAACCTGCAGTTTCTATTATCCATTAACATCTAAACAAAGAAAGAGAAAGAAAGAAAGAAAGAAAGAAAGAAAGAAAGAAAGAAAGAAAGAAAGAAAGAGAGAGAGAGAGAGAGAGAGAGAGAGAGAGAGAGAGAGAGAGAGAGAGAGTGTGTGCGTGCGTGCGTGCGTGCATGGGTGGGTGGGTGGGTGCGTGTGTGTGTGCACACACCAACAAACAGTGCTGACAGTTAGTGTTGACAAAATTGTGCAACAATGTAAGACTCAAGGTTGAAAACATTGTGCCGGAAAAAGTAACAGATTGGTTGTTAAATGACAAAAAAGGTGGAGGCTCTGAAATTGTGAACGATGATGAAATTGTTTCAAGTGTTACTACCATCGAAGAAGAAGAAACTGTTGATGCTGAAGGGTCACTTCTTAAACAAAACCCTACAACTATCCACTCAGAAGCAGAAACAATGTTATCAAAGTGCACTGACTGGTTTGAAATGCAAGAGTAGACAAATGCAAATTAGATCCGACTTCTAAGTAAGATAGGGAATATCGGAGCTCAGAAAGCTCAAGCCTCAAAGACACAGATGGAGATGACAGATTATTTTAAAATAACCAAGGTATTACAATACAGTTCAGTAGATTACTACTCTTACACTGAAGTTTTCATTGATAATTTTCTAAAATTAAATACAATATGTATGTCATCATCATCATGTGCCCTGCCAACTGGCATAGGCGCTCATGCGTCTCCACAGATCACGATCTCTGGTTGCCTGGAACAGCTCTCTTGATTATATCCCTCCATGCCATCATTTCAGCCCATCCAGCATTATCTCTCTTGGTCTGCCTCTACCCCTTTTCCCACTGATCTTTCCAGTTGTCACAATGTTCTCCAATGTCTCTTTTCTCATTATGTGGCCAAAGAACAGTGTTTGTTTCTTTCTTACTGTTGTATTTAGAGATCTACTTTCATTAGCGTCTTTTAAGCAATCGTTGTTAATTACTCTGTCCGTCCAAGGTATTCGTAACATTCGTCTCAGAAACCACATTTCTGTTGCTTCCAAATTCTTCCTAACTTGTTTACTGACATTCCAAAATTCGCTACCATATAGCAGAACAGGTTCTATGTAACATTTAGCACTCTTTTTCTGACATACATATGTATGTATTGTTTGTTTTTAATGGATTTTATTTTCATTTTCGTCTCAAGCCTGCAAAGACATCACATTACTGTGTATAAATATTTAGAGATTTCTGTTATTGGTCTAATCGGTTCTCTCTAACAGCAGTGGTCCTGATGGCGACTGCTAATCGAAGTTTTGCTGTCTATTGTTTATTAAATGATCATCTATACTGCCCACTGAACAAATCCATCAGTGCTTTGATCATCTTCCAAGCCTGTTTCTTCGTGACGTCTCCTTCTCTGTACAGTTTGGTCCAGTAAGCATACATAAATGCACACCTGTCAAATGTTATGAATACCCAACCCAATGTATGGTGTTAATACCAGGGCAATGAACAAGCGGCTAAGAAGGACTCAACAATCTTTAAAAATAAAAATTAAAACAAAATTTTTTTTAACAAAAAACGATTGTAGACAAGCAAACAAAAGGCAGACAATTATACAAGTGGGAGGATAACATCAACAGGTGAGTGAACAGCAGTTTGTGTGCTACCATCACAAAAAACAGAAAACTGAAGCCAATCTTCACTGCTGAGACAGTATCTGATGCAATGAAACCAGCACATTTCAACAAATGAAAGCAAAATATCACAGAACCAACCTTCAAGTAGTCACAGTGCACAATGGTGCTGACCCTGCGTTTCTTCTTTGTTTCCACAGCCTGTTTGGGAACCTTCAACACCAGAGACTTGCGACGAATGTTCTCAGCGCTGAAACAGCAATTGGACGGAAAAGGCTTGAGTAAAAAATAAAGCTGCGATAAGCTATTTAAATGAATGCAGACATAAAGAATATATTTCACAATTTACCACGTGGTATATATAGCCTGATCTTGTCAGGTGCATTTTACGGAAAGTACGTCAACATAATAATGAAGCGCAACAAAACTGACTTCTTTTCAGTGAATTAAAAAAAAATCATATTATCCTCTCTATATACACTGTTCTCAGTACTAGAAGTTCCAGACAGCAATGTGGTTACCACGAAGTCTTACATTTACTGTGTGCTCTTTTTTATTTGTAAAACACAGGTTTGTTCATTTTCATTGACACAGCCTCTGTCAGTTTCAATAATCAAATCATCTGTTCATTGTGTGATAAAAAACACAGGGGTGTGTGTGTGCGTGTGTGTGAGTGTGTGTGTGTGCGCGTGCGTGTGTACATATATAGATACATACACACATACATATATATGTGTGCATACATTTTGAGTGTGTACGCATGTGTGCTGCATGCACGAACATATGTAAATGTAACTGTAGTAATGTAACAGTACAAGATACAGTGAAATATTTCAGATAATAAACCGTACAATGTATTTTCTGTGTCCACATTATTTTAAACTCACTACAGGAAAACACTGTTTTGAATTATAATATATGACTAGAAGACAATAAGTAATAATTAGAACTGTGTGAGTTCATATAACATGGACACATTTTTTTCTATTGCTCTTTATTCCCTGGCCTCCAACTTGTGCCCAATCCATTCTAGATCTGTTCCTACTTGGCTGACTTTTACAACTAAGTATTTTTTGTGATGAGACCCCAAATCCAATCCGACTTTTAGTTGCATTTTATGGCCCAAAATTCTTAAAGTAAGGACATACATACTACAGGGTTCATAGCCAAATTTACCAATCAATTTCAAGGCTTTTCAAGGTCTTTTTCAAGGTCTCCTTAGTTTTTTTCAAGGTTGTCTCGGTGAAATACTGAAACAAGATTTTTGCCTTGTTCAAGGGTGTACTGAGCACACAAGGTACTTCATTTGTGCCACATGTGTTGGTATACCAGCACAGATATCATCATCATGTAGCATTTCCTTTGTCCTGACAAAAAAAAACTCGGTCTCTCACCAGCTCTCCCGCCTCATGTACTTTTTTATACTCAAGGAGTCACTTATATCCTGTGCCCATCTTCGTGTTGGTCGGCCCCTGAGCTTGATATAGTGTTTGAAAATTTTTTTTAGGGCTTGGTGGTAGAGGGCAGCAAACTGAAGTCCTGTCTGTTCTGGACCTGGTACCTGAGAGGGTTAGGGGAGAGAGGGAGAGTCATAAAGAGAGAGGAAGACACATGCTGAGGTAGGCTGGGAGAGACAGTGTAAAGATGGACAGATGAAGGTAGAGAGAAGAAGGAAAAGAAGTATGGGGAAGGAGGAAAAAATGAGAGGGAGGGATGGAGACATGATGAGGAAAAGTGGGGAAGGGACAGCGAAAGACAAGAGAGGGAGACAAATACAGAAAGAGGGAATGCAGATACAGAGATGGGCAGATGAAAAGAGAAGGAAAAAGGGAACGAAACAGAGATATGGAAGGAGGAAAATATGACAAAGAGTTGAAAGAAGGGAAACAGAGGGAGAGAGAACGGACAGGGTGAGAAGCAGATGCAAGCAGAGAGAGATGTAGACATAAAGGAGAGAGAGACAAAGGGACAGCACAGAGAGGCAAGCAGACAGAGGGAGAAAACCAAAGAAAGAGAAAAAAGGCAGAGCAGGAGAATGGGAGGGAGGTATACAAAGAGGAAGTGATGAAGGGAGGCAAACAGACATAAAGCAAGAGAGAGAGAGAGAGAGAGAGAGGTGGGTAAGGAAGGCAGTGACAAACACAGATTAAGAGAGAGGGGCAGGAAGGGAGACAAGATACATCAAAGAAAAAAAAACAGCCTACCTACCCCCCCCCCCCCCCCCCCCCCCATACACACAATTTCAAGTGTAGTGGACACAACCACTAGGAAAAGATAGTTATGGGGCAAAAAATACGTAGATGAACCAGTAAAAAAAATGGGGGGGGGGGAGAGAATGAGAGAGGGGAGCGGGTAAGGAAATCTAGAGAAAATGAAAAGACAGGATGGAGAGGAGACAAAGAAGAGATGGGACAGGAGAAAGGGCAAGGAAAGGAAGAGAGGAAGAATGGAGGGAGAAAGGAGAATAGTAGAAGATCAAAGGAAAGAGAAGGGGTGAGAGAAGAAAGGTAAGTCACGGTTGTGGGGGTGGGGGGTGTAAGAACAATGAGTGCCAAAAATAGAATTAGGAAATCTCTAAGTGTGGCCACTTTTCCGGTTCCTACCCTCTCCCAATGTGAACGTGGCCGTGGTCCAAAAACAACAGTGCTAACCCCTACTGCCCCTTGCTTGTCCTATCTGTGTGTGACAACAATAATTCAATTTCTTACACTTAAGGCTGGTGACCTGAGAGCCAAGGTCATTTTATGAAGAAAAAAAAAGTCCAGGGGATCCCAACCCACCACTGGTGGAAAATAGAGAAGTTTACCCACACACATAAATAGGTCAGACACATAAATAGGTCAGGGCAGCAGTGGACTTCGTTTTATTTCTGGTTTTCCAATTACAGAAAGGAGGGGAGAGGGGAGGTGGTGGAAAGTGGTGTAGAAGGCTGAGGTGGTAAGGGTGAGACAGAGGAGGTGAAAGAATAAAGTTTAAGAAAATAAAGTGGGAATGAGACAGGGAGAGAAAGAAATAAGATGAGATATAGAGGGAAGAAGGTAGCAGGAAGGGGTGCACTCCCTCCCCTAGGTGTCATCAATGTGGGAGGAGAAAGGGGGGGGGGGGGGGGTGACAGCAAATGTGTTTTTAAAAGTACACATATATTTAATGTGTGGGAGGGGGGGGGGAATGGTGGACATGAAATGTTCTGCACTAGGCAACACATAACCTACACCAACTGAAGGTATGGAGAAAGAAAGAGAGAGAGAGAGAGGGGGAGGGAGTGAGGGAGAGTGGCAAATACAAAGAGAAAGAGGAAAGCAGTGACACAGACAGGCAGAGAGTGAGGAACAGGTAGGACAAAATGTGAAGGGAGATGGACAGAGATTAAGGCCGCTAGGAAAACAAACACATCAAAAGAAAATATCCACCATGTTCACACAGAATGCCCCCCCCCCCCCCCAATACAACTTCCTGTGTACTTGAGTTGCTAGGAAGAGTTATGGAGCCGCACATTTACTAAACATTTAAACAAGAAATAAAATAGGAAAAAGGGGGAGGGGATAGGAAATGAGAGAGTAAAAGGAAAGATAGAGAGAAAGAGAAGAAGATGAAGATCAGAAGGGAGGATTAGAGACAATGCAGGAGACGGGAAGGAAGGAGCAATAGGTAGAAGAGTGAAAGAGGGAGGGAAGAGAGAGAGAGAGGGGTGAGACAACAGAAGAGGGAATCTCGGGGAATTACAATACTGATCGCCAAACACACTGTAAAGATAAATCCAGGCCAAAAATAGAACTGGGAAATCCAGCTGCAGTCACTTTGCTTAGCCCCAATGCCATCTCTAATTAATAGAGAAGGCCGTGCTTAGCCCCCACCACGGCGGTATTTATAAATACAACTGAACCGAGCCCCACCATCTCCCAATGTAATCCTTTCTAGAAACCACGGCCATAAACGATTTATAAGGTTCATTCTGCCGGACTCCCTAGAAACAAAGGCACACACACACACACACACGCGAGACGGAATCTGCTACTTCCCGCCCCATGCCACACCGCTGCTGTCTGCATGTATTCATGATCTGCAACACAGCCCGCCCTCCCCTGGCCTTTAACAAGCCATTTCGGCTGAAAATAGCCAATAATCAGCTGCCCTCACACCTGAAATGACCATACAACGAAAGTAGCCAAAAACTAGCCAAATGGCCAAAAAAGCCAAATGGCTCCCCCAAAATTGCCTGTGCTGAAAAACACAGGATTTCTGACGATTTCATTGCCGCGGTCAAAATTCACGGCTTTTCAAGGTCGGAATGTCTTTTATAAGCTAAAAATCACGGTTCAAGGTCAACGAAAAAAATCCCGGTAATTTCCCGATTTCCCGGTCCACTACGAACCCTGATACTATATGCTGCTTCCCCTAAAGATACTGGTAACATTATTCCCAGCCTCCATTCTTCAAGTTGCAATGGAGTTTAAAGGTGTTTTAGAAAATAACAGATGATGACAGAAGTGACAATTAAATCAAAAAGTTAACTGCGAGTGACCAACAACCACCCGGAGATGTGTATTGAAGGCAGTAGTCTTTTTTCTATTTTCTCAATCAGTCAGGTGTCATCTAACCAGTTAAGGTTGACTGCAATAGATCTCCAACACACGTTGCCTCTTGTCTTGGTTATACTGTCTCTCACACTACTGTTCATACATCTCTTGATGTTGTCCTGCCACTTGTATCATTGTCTACCCTTTGCTGCTGACTTACCCTCGACCTTTCCCTTAGCTATAGTTTTTAAAAATATTTTAGTTGTCTCTGTTTTTTTTTTCTTTAAGTTACTTTCATTACATTTGCAGTCTCTTTAGAACCTCTGTTGGATTTCTGCACCATACAGCAGGCTTAAGGATACATAACATTTCACCATTCTCATTTTCAATGTGTTGTTTAAGAATACATAACATTTCACCATTCTCATTTTCAATGTGTTGTTTAAGAATACATAACATTTCACCATCCGTATTTTCAAAGTGTTGTTTAAGAATACATAACATTTCACCATTCTCATTTTCAATGTGTTGTTTAAGAATACATAACATTTCACCATCCATATTTTCAATGTGTTGTTTAAGAATACATAACATTTCACCATTCTCATTTTCAATGTGTTGTTTGAGAATACATAACATTTCACCATTCTCATTTTCAGTGTGTAGTTTGAGAATACATAACATTTCACCATTCTCATTTTCAATGTGTAGTTTAAGAATACATAACATTTCACCATTCTTATTTTCAGTGTGTAGTTTAAGAATACATAAAGATTTCACCATTCTCATTTTCAGTGTCTAGTTTGAGAATACATAACATTTCACCATTCTCATTTTCAATGTTTAGTTTGAAAATACATAACATTTCACCATTCTCATTTTTTATTGTTTTGTTTATCTCTCTAGCTGGGAATAATTTTTGCATCTTGCTGAACTTAGTGTTGAGTTAGCTGTTGATAGTATGTTTGCACAGCTATCATTGCAGTACTAGTAACTGGTACCTTTCGCACATAACAGTTCCTGCGTGAGTAACGTAAGCATACAGCAAGCACTCTTTTCGCTATATTTAAGAAGTAAACTGAGTGGCATATTTGTACTAAATAGTAAAATAATGCATTTTTCGCTGGTAATGGAAAGTTGAGAGACAATTACACCCATTACGAGATGCCTTGCCACTGTCAAAAATGCACAATTAAATTAATGAGGTTCCAACAACAAGAAGAGACAAACAACATGCAGCCCTCACTGTTCAAGCAAGGTCTTTGACATGATAATCTTGGTGCCTTCAACATTGATGAGATCATGATCTGCTGGAACATTCTTCTCCTCCTCCTCCTCTTGCTCTTCCGTCATGGCCACCTGCAGTGAGCCGGCACCAGGACCCTTCATGTTGTACACGGGACATTCTTTGTTGGTCCTCATGTGTCCTATCTGCCCACAGGCACCACATTTCATCTGGGGAGAATCAGAAAAATAATGAATTGGTCAATAACTGTTCCCTCTGTGGGTACTGGGGTTCTATTCTGGGAGTGGGGTTGAGGAAGAGGGGGGGGGAGGGGGGGGGGGTTAGGAGGATAGACCCACTGTCTCTCTAACAAGTATGTCATAAAATTTGACTAATTAAGCGTATTTCTATTTAGTGAGAGTTCACCTCCATTAGGGGGCGAGGAACCAATAGTCTGCATACACATAAGCTAGGTCTGTAAAATGGATATGCATGCAAAACTCAAACTCTGGAACAAAACTATTCAAGAAGTTGACAAACAACTTGAACTTTCTGCCAGATTTTATAGCCGGTGAATGCCAAGAATAGGAAAAAGATGGTCAATGTATGGGACCAAGTTTGTTCAACAGAGGGAAGTTCCACGTATGCAGAATAAGGAAATCAAGCAGAACAGGAAGGAATGAACAAAGTTGTAATAATACAAGATCAATACTGACAGACATTCAGAGGCAAGCACAAACAGAATTAGAGAGAAGGGTGAGCCACAAAAGATAGGTAGACACATGGACAAGCAGACAGCAAGCTGAGAGAGGCAAGCAGAGTTACCAGACAGACAGGCAGGCAGAGTTATAAACGAACGAAGATTGATACTGATAGAAAGATGGAGAATCATCACACACAGGCAGGCTGGCAGAGTCATGCAGATAAGATTCAGAGGAAAGGGTAAGGAATCTTGAGACATACAGAGTCATGTAGATAAGATTCAGAAGGAAGGGTAAAGAATCCTGACAGACAGAATGCAGAAAGTTATGCGACACAAATTCTATAATTGTGGCAGAAATTTATGAAGCAGATTCTATGAGAGATGGCTTCCTGTGTACATACTTACATAAAAATCTTAATTGAAAATCATCTAAAAGATCTACAATCTGGCAATATAAAATCACCTTGGAAGCCTTGATGAGTTGTTCTTTTTCCTTCTTTGGTTTTTTCTTTGGAGGCGGAGTAGACATGGGCTTCTCCTGGTTCCTCTTGATCCTCCTGAGCTGCTCCTGTATCCTCCTCCTTTCCTTTCTCATTTCTTCCTTCTGCTGATCATCCATGGCTGCAAACTGTTTTCTGGAGAAAGGCAAGCAGAAAATGTTGAGAAAATCTTGACATCTCACTTACATAATCAGTTTATGATTTCCCCCTGTCTTGAGGTCCAATGAGTCAACGTCCTACTTAACTCTTTGATTCCCAAGGAACGCATCATTCGTTCATAGATTCCTACCTAGAGGCCCAATGAACGCATGATGCGCCAATTTAACGTCTCCCTTGACTACCCCTTGGGCCTGTGATGCTAAGCTCCCTGGGACTCAAAGAGTTAAAGATGTATGAACTAAAGAAGGCATGCCAAATAATGGTCAGTTTCATCACAACAGCTTATCTGTCGGTGTAACTGAGGATTGAGTCAACTATGGCCCGCAGGTCAAAACTGGCCAGCTGAGCCATTTTTACTGGCCCACAGGGCTGGTATAAAAATTACTAAATAATCTGGCCCCTGGGCTCACAACAAAAGCAGAACTAAAAAATATATGTTTCTATGTAAAAAAAAAACATCAGAATATTAACATTTAAAAAAGTGATCATCTAAACAGTGATAACCAGAAATCGATGCCACCAAAACATTGATACTGCTGTGAAACACGTGCTGCGGACAAACTCGGATATGAAGAGACAGTCTGTCAGGGACTCTGATAATAAAATATAAAGTGATGACCATTTCCTTTTTTTCTAAACAAACATATTTAGGAATATATGGTGAGTGAGTGTCTGAACAGAAGCCATAGAGAGGAATTATAATTTTAGGCTATCCAACAAATATACTGTGCCACAAGAAAATCTGTGTGTTATGTTTATAATGGATTATTTTATTTTTTTTAAACATGGCCTGCGATCAGATTGGTAATTCTAGATCTGACCTGTGGATGGGACAGGTCACCCACCACTGGTGCCAATCATGGAGGCGATCACAAGAAAATAATTTGTCTCAAGAAGAACATCCTCATCTGTAATTTTGTTAGCCTGTTTTACTCCTTGCATTTTTCCCAGAAAGAGATTCTTACACATAGTACTTTCCTACGAAGTATTTACCATTTATACCAACCTCTGAAAACATGAGCACAAATTAACTAAAATGTCATTATAGAGGAACCCACATGGGCACAGAAATAAAAGTGGACCAGAATCACAGGGGCAAGGCAAGCAAAAAGTGAAGTTAGGCAGGGAGGACATAGGATCAGCTACATTCAAAAGCAAAGGATTGGACAACCTAGCGTGAGTTGGATTTAAACTCTATTGATGGGGGGGGGGGGGGGGGAGGGGGGGGGGGGGGGGCCAGAAGAAAATAACTCACATAAAGTTTGGGTCCCTGGTCTGTCGAATCCTCAAGTAGGCATCAATAACCACAGGGTTTGTGACCATCTCCGAGCGCTGGTACTGTCGGCCAGTGTCATCATGGAAGGTTCTAACAATTTTCAGCTTCCGGCCTCGATGCTGCTGGGTTTGGGAACAAATAAATGTACGGTCAGTTTCAAGAATACTACTTTACTTCAGTTACTCAGCATGTGATTATTTGAGTGTCTGAGTATTTAATGACAATGAAGCATTTCACATTCACTAAAAAAAGTGAATGCTGCAAAACAGATGTTTTTCATTTGTTTAAATAGGTAAAGTAATAAAAAGTACAATACTGAAGAGAAAAAATGCATTAAAATAAACTACAGTAAAAAAACCTACAATACATCAGAGTACAGAACACTACAGTTAGTACACAATAGTACAGTACAGAACACCACAGTAAATTACACTACAGTAAAGTACACTACAGAAAGTACACTATAGTAAAGTACACAATAGTAAAATACACTAGAGTACTTAACACAACAGTACAAGACAGTAAAATACACTATAGTAAAGTACTGAACACAGCAGTACAATACAGTTAAATGAGGTTAAGTTGCAAATTACTGTTCAGTGCAGTAAAATAAAGTACAGCGCAGCACAATAGAGGATTATATCAATATTATGACTGGCTGCCTTGACTTTCGAAGGCATTTCCAGTTATCAATTTACTCTGGATCAACCTGACAGCCCTGGTTAATTTTGTGAAATCTTCACCTACATGCAGACTAAAACACACGACAACAAAGCTGGTAAGCGACAATGCTAGCCACTGCAACACCACAGCTCCCTAAGTATAAACATCATTGTGTGTCTTATATGATGCATAGGGGTCGCAGTTTATAATTCCATACCATTTTGTCATGAAGAATGGCTATCCGAATGGATAAGAAGGCAGGGGTCTCATGCTGGAGACCCAGGTTCGAATCCTCAGTAAGGTTACTGGGCTTTTTCTGTCGGGGGCAAAAATAAAACCCTAACCAGCACAGTCTGTGGCAACAACACTAATCATGCGGCCTTAATACCTCTTTTTCGAAAACCCTCCTCCGCCCCACCTACACTGCAAAAGTGGCATATATAGGCAGCAATAGCAATTTCTCTATCCTGTGCAACTGTTTCTCTACGGTCTAGCATCTTTGGACTATCTCACTATAGTCTAAGGGTTTTTGGGGATGTCCCCACATCCTCAATTCTTTACTTTCCAATTTAATTGTTAGTTTGGTAATTCTCTGTCCATTTCTCCTTTGTCTTATGTTTATTCCAGTGGTTGCCAAGACATTTCTCTAATTTGTTTGCCTTTCTTTAAATCATCCCAATTAATGTTTATCAGATTCTTTGAGCATTTGCTGTCAAAGGGAGTCCCCATGGCGATGGCAGCTAGATGCCTGTTTGCGGATCAGAAGGTCGCAGGTCCAGGTCCTGATGAGCCGGACATTTGTTTTATATATAAATGACCTTGACTCCCAGGTTGACCTAGTCTTGAGTGGGTACCAGGTGCAGACCTAGGAAGTAAAGGCAGCTGGTGTAATGCTAACTACATCACCCACCAAGTACAGATTGGTCTATAAAAATAAAGGGCTAGCCCTATATGCCCAATACACCATAAGGCGTGGAAAAGGGTCCTTTTCTTTACTGTTATTTGCTGCCAAATGCATTCAACTTTTGTTCATTGTATTTAGTGGTTCCAGACATCCACAGAAAAAGGTTAAAACTAAAATAACATTAGAAGTGAAAACATGTATCTTGGTTTTAGAACTATATAAATGTAGAGGTCCATATTGTCTTCAGGAGCCACAGTGGTGTAGCGGCTAGATGTTCGCCTGCAGATCTGAAGGCTTTTGGTTCGAATCTAAACTGGATTTTTTTCTTTAAAAAATTACCTTGACTCTCAGGCTGACCTAGCCTCAAACTGGGCACCAGGTAAAATCTTGTAAAGTAGAGGCATGATGCTGACTATATCACCTAATAAGTGCTGATTGGTCTATAAAATACAGGTCTAACCCTATATGCCTGAAGGAGTGGAAAAGGGTTCTTTAATTCTCCTTTACATATTGCCTTGCGTATAATAATTTCTTTCTGTGTATATTTTTTGGCAATCAAAATTGCTACCTAAATAAGTAAACTGATTTGTTTTTTAATTCTTTCTTGTTCTCTCCAGTGAAGTGAAAACTCAAAGCTAAATTTTTAATTTAAAAAGTACCCACCATTAAATCATCATCTTTATTCATACCAGCCCCAGATTTGGACTTTTTGTCCTTGGCATCACTCATGTCCCCTTTCAACATTCTCTGTAGTTCTCGTCTCTCTGCTTCTTCTTTCTCTCGCGACAGCTGAAAAAAAATCAACAGATCTGTTTAAATGAGTTCAAAACGATGTTCCCCCACTGTATGTAAATTTAAATGATGCGGACATAAACAAACAATACATTGCACAAATTAGTCTCAGGCATATTTCGCTGTGAAATCTAAATAAAATGAAGCACAAAAATGAATCCTTTCTACTAAAACGAAAAAAAAAATATTTAATTGTCAAGTCAGACTGTACAATCTCTCCACCCAAAACTGAAGATCGGCTATGTGGTTACCAGGGTAACGTCAAATTTAACACACGTTTTCTTTGTTTACATAAAACAGGAAGGACAAGATAACAGAGTTTCTCAATAGCCACAGTCAACATGGAACCAAAAGGAATGGAAAAGATGTGCAAAAATATAACCAAATGTGTTTTCTGTCTTTCCGCTACTGTTAAAAGAGGTTGAAGTTCCCAAAAAAATAAGACCAGCTCTTATATTAATTTTTGCTTTACAAAATGCACCAGAGCATATTTTCAGGCGATGTCTTTTTTCTCTAGATAGCCTAGATAGCTAGTATCCCATATCTTTTTACATTCCTTCTTTTCTTTTTCTACTGTTCTCCAGGTTTCATTTAGTCATCCGCGCTCCATTTTTCCATGTGAGAGCTGTCTTTGCCAAAGAGTCACGAGGAATTCTGCAAATATGTCCATCCATCTCCTTCACATACAAACATTCTGCATGACGTGGTTGTTAACGGATACATGGCACACTAGATGTTATCAAGGTCCTCTGGGAGTAGGTGAACAGTGAGGAGACACACACAAATAGATTATGAACATCTTCTAAAGACAATGGTGCAGCAGCAAGTGACCAGGCAATATGGCAGACACTCAACACTCGGGGGGAAAGGCAAGACGGACATACAATCAGACATCTACTGCTACATCAGTGTTGAACTGTGCTGGCTGCTGAAGATGGAGACAACTTGCATATGGGAATGTCTCCCGTGCTATAAAGTTGGTTCTTAACTCAATTTAACAACAAAATTAACAATTTTACCATAATCACATACCTGTGTGCTAGTTTTCTTATTGGCCAACATGCTCTCGATGTTTTTGCCCATTTCCTCAAAATCAGAATCCTCCCCAGATGTCGACCCCTCATCCGTGGATAATGTTTCAGTGGAAGCCAAAACCCTATAATAAATTATAGCAAATAATTTACTATGAAACTCAAAGCTATCGTTTTAAAACCAAGTTTTCAATACTAATGTTATTTCAATTTTAACATAGGAAAGTAGAGGGAGGACCATTTAAACATTAAATGAAGTCACAGACATTTTAAAACAAATGGAATGAATTTTTTTTTTTTTTTTTTTAAATAAATAAGAGAAATGTCCAGACAACCACTTTGTATCAACAAAGAAGATGACAATGTATCTGGCCCATTAGGAGAAGTGAACAGATTCATCATAGAGGCACTGAAACGGGGTAAGGAGAAAGGGGGGGTGGGGGGTGGAATGGATTCTATGGTACTGAAAGAGCTGCACTGGACGGCATAGTACAGAAGAATAAACTTGAGTCCCTCGTATGTAAAATGCCATAACATCCTGATGATGATTATCATGAAAAGATTTAACAATTTATAAATAGTAGGCCTTGAATGTTTTCAACTTTCTTGTGCACACTCAGACCAAACATATAAGTGATTCTTCTACTGCACATTCACCAGCTGTAAACTAAAGCGGAAACTTCTGGTTGTTCCTCCATCTCTGGGGTTGTCTGGTTCCAGGACTTGAGTTTAGCATGCACATCCATTTTACAAACCTAGATTATTTGTATGCAGACTGATAGTTAATTAGTAGGCTTTGATTACATATATGTTAGGAAGCATGGGTCTACCCCACCCATCCCCCCCCCCCACCCCTACAGGGGAAGTGATTCTAATGTTCCCAATAGTTGGATCTAAGGGATGATGGTTGGAACCTTTCCATTATTCCAGACAAGTCTTATACTTTGCTGCAGGGAAGCACCGAAATTACAACTGATGGAGACGGTCAACAAAGCAAGCGATAAAATTCCTCCTCCCCATATCACAAAACCTTGACAGTATTGTAGAGACCACTCACCACCAATGCAGGCCAAGAGAGAGACAGAGCTTTTGCTGCATAAGCAAAATGGGGTTTCTACAGATTTTGTGCTATAGGGAGGAGGAACTTCATCCCTGGCCATAACTAGCCATCACAACAGGCAGTGAGGTACCCAGTAAAAGAGCTCTTTCAGCCTGCCTTGTTTACTTCAAAGGAAAGGGAAAGTAGCATCAATATATTAGTGACAATATGTAAAGAGATAATACACACCCTTAAGGTGATTTTATGCTGCCAGATACTATAGGCCTCTAAGGTAATTTTACAGTCACAGAAAATGAAAGTCCATAAGGTGATTTTGTGTAAAGTTATAGGTTTTAAGATTATGTTGCCCAACAAAGATGTAAGTTAACGGTGACTACATTAAAAAAAATTAAAGGCTGTACCCATGCAGATTTAAGCACCTCAGTTTTGGAGGTGGACAAGGCAAGACCAACTGCCCCCTACCAAGCATGTCATAAAAAGTGACTAAATTGGGTGTACTGGACCAAAAGGTGCAGATACTGCAGCCTAGCTATAAACAAAAACATAGCTCGCCAACTGTACTTTTAAGGGAGAGCATAAAAGAAAAAAAAACTTTCTAGGTGACTCTATACTGTCAAGTAATGAACGTTCTGAGGTGACTGAAATGCAAATTAACAAAGGTTTTAGGATGATTTTTTTTCCCCCCTAGACTAGCTATGCCTCTAAGATGATTTACATTACCAGAAATAACATCCCCCACACCTCCGCGTTCTTCCTCATTGCAAGAGTGACTGTGATACAACTTACAAAATAACACTATATTAACTTGTCAAATATTATTACCTGTTCTGTAGATCAAATATTCTCTGGCACTCATCCTTGTACCGTTCCATGTGTTCTGCAGCTGAGTAACGGTTTCCACGTGCAAACTTGACCCATCCTGTAACCAACAAAGTGACCAGTTGAGGTAAACATGATAAGCTATTGACTTCCAGTTAATATGGTACATAGACAGGATTACTGTTTTTAGTCACTGTTGCTTCTGACAAGTCAGCTGTTGTACTTTTCCCATATGTAGATAAAAGATACAGTACCGTCGTCCAACTACTGAGCTGAGTGCTTGGTGCGACAATGTGAGCCGTAGATTTCATTTGCGGTGCTCAATGTGGTTTGTGTTGTGAACTGAAGATTCAGAAAATGGCTGGTGGCTTGTGTGTCCAATTCTTAACCCTTTAAAAAAAAAGTGTTCATTCTAAAACCCTGTCTTCTGTTACCATTTTGTCTGCACAAAACTGTAGCAAATAACAAAGGCAAAGTATTTCTGGTATCTGAGACACGGTGCTTTTTCATAAGCCAGTGTTTCCAACATTCAGAACTTGCAGAATATTAATATTAAGACAAAATAACATGAGTTGAGGTTTTTGTTGATGAAAAACTTTCCGCTGGAGTTTACAGCCAGTGAATGCGAAGAAGAAGTAGAGGGAAAAACTTTAACAAAAACATAAAAACAGTGCCCACAATTGAGAAGAAAAAGGTCAAATTGGCAACTATTACAATAAGACTAGCATACCAGTAGTATCTTGTCCTTGCTTTGCTTGCTCTGTTGACATGGTCCTGACCACATCAATGACCTCCCATCTGGACAACTTCTTGATCTGCAATGTTCATTTAGGAAGAAAAAAAAAATAATAACTGTTTATTATAAAACAAAGTGGAAAAAGAAAAAGTCTTTACAGGATCTACTTCATAAGATAACAGGTTCCCAAAATATGAACCGCAACCCCCAAATGGGGTCATAAAGGGTTTTCTATGGGGCTGTCCAGCAATGGTGTGCTGTACACACTGTAACAAGGAAAAACAAATAACCACATTATCAGTCCTGCAGAGAGATCTTTTTGTAAAATTTGGGCACTGCTGGACAACAATTTCAATGATCGCATTAAATACAATGTAAATTAGCTTTATTTTGAATTGTATTATACAGAAACAACTTTAAAAAAACTACTTCAGTTTCAAAGGCATGATGATGTTGATGAGCCAGTTTTCTTCCATGCTTACGTCTTGTGGAACATCTGATATTTCTTGCTGTCTTGATCCACAGCATTCTCAGAATGTTTCTGTTATCTAAAGGGCTTTCTCTGTTTAACATCCATATGATCAATCATGGTGTGGCGGCTAGATGCTCACCTGCTGAACCATAGGTCGTGGGTTCAACACCTGAAGCAATGAGTAAAGGAAGTGAAGAAGAAGTAGAAGATTCACCTCGGACTCATGCACACCGAATTTGCGCAGTAGTTGTTTGGCATCCTGCAGGTTGAGTCTCCTGAGATCTGCATCGGTTCCTGTGACAGTCTTCTTGACTGGGGTTTCCTTAGCTTCTTCCTTGGTGGTAGGTTTATTTGGAACCTAGACAATTAGGCACAAAAGAAAATATATTTTAGTCTCACTTATTTGCTTGCAAGTGCATTCATAAAACAAATACCTGAGGAAAATGATGTTGAACTTGGTGAGTTTTAAAAAAAAGTCAAAGACATTAAATCTAAGGCGAATTGTGATGAGAGAGACCAAAGGTGTTGGACAGGATTCCACGCATCATATCAAAAAGATTACACAGGTTAGAGTGAAAAAGCCAAAAAATAAACTGTGAGCCGTATGTGATGTATAAACAGCACAACAAGATGATGGTGGTGGTGGTAGTGGTGATGGTGATGATTATGATGATGATGATAGTGGTAATGCTGATGATGATGAGAAGGAGGATAATGTTGATGATGGTAGGATGATGATGAAGTCTGCTCGCCGTGGCTATTAACAATGAAAGACAACTAGAGTCAGGTCACAGAAACTTAGTATAGAGACAAAATCTAGACAATACAAGCCAAATTTCCGTAATACTTTTTATACAGCAGTAATTGTTGGAAAATTGACGAGTGCGAATGTTGGCTTGATACACCGCACACTTGCCAAGTATCCATGGTATGCTGAATAGTGTTACAGTAACAAGTCACCATTCCCGCCCAACAGCAATAAGGACGCCGGATACATGTGAACGTCAAAAACAGAATTAATGTATTTCTAATTCCAACACCAAAACAATGAAAGGCATCACGAGAATAAAACGTTACACCGCCACAGTCATTCCTACTGGCTAGGCAACACACACTACGGACGCTCTGGGCTACTTCTACTGCCACCCTGTCCCGTGGTCAACCACGAGCAAACATTACCTGCTCGTGCCAACTCACTACTCGTGATTATGTGTCTACCTCTACGACATCCATCCCGTGGGTACACTGTCATAGCAGAATCATACAGGCCGATGCACAGTACATTGTGAAACTTGTCCAGACCTTCCGTCTGCGGCCTGACACGTAATTGAGATCTAAATAATCTCACCACACGAGCGTCTGTCGCGCTGGCGCGGCCACTGTAACAACACTCACACCTACCGCCAGCGTAACACCGGTATGCAGGACCAGCCTGGAACCATCCAGATTAGAACAGGCCTTCTACACAGCGTCGTAGAGTCCACGGTCGGTCACTCTCTCTCTTCACATTGCGTTCAATGTGTCCTGCACCGCACCAAGTGTTTACGTTCAATAATGAACTTTCCTTTCATATACCCATATATTGCACACAACAAAAATGACAGTGGGAATTACACATAAACTAGAGACTGTTTCCAACAAATGTCTAAGGAGGATCCTGCATATATTCTGGCCCAAAAAAAAAAGATCACAAATGAAGAAATGAGGAAGAAAAGAAAGTGTTCATCACTGGTAAACATTATCAAAGGAAGAAGATGGAGACAAACATCATGCAGCAGGTTCTTTACAAAAATGCTCTGGTCACAGTCTGCACGAAAGAAAGTGTCTCCCTCCAGCTCTCCCACCTGCTACACTTTCCTTCCTAACAGGTCTCTTATGCCGTGTGATTATCTTTGTGCTGGTCAACCCCTGCCCCTTTAACCTGGTACCATGCCATCTGCCACTGTTGTTTTCCAATCCACCATGGCTCTAATACACAGAAAATATTTCAGTTCCAGTTAAAGGATGCTGTTTATTAGCCAATCTTCCTTGATGTTCAGAGCTTTCAGGATATTAGGATTTCATTTCTTCTTGGCACTTTCAAACCAGATTTTTTCCCCCAAAAAAATAACCTTGGCTCCAAGGTCAACCCAGTCTTAAATGGGTACCAAGTACAGTCCTGGAAAGTAAAGACGGCTGGCATGGTGTTGACCATATCACCCATCAAGTGCCGACTGGCCTATAAAATACAGGTCTGGCCCTGTAAGCGCAATACGTTTGAAGGCACGGAAAAAAGACCTTTTACTGATGAACTGGTAATCTAGAATCCTTTTCTCTAAAATAAAATATAATAATATGTTTACTTTGATGTAGGAAAAGCCTTCGCCACATCCTGTCGGATCAGCCAGGCCAGTCAGCTGTAGTAGACACTTTCCCTTCATGGCCGCAATATAAGCCCTGGTGGTATTCCATGGAGCTGCTCGAATCTGGAAAAAATTTTTTTTTAATATTTATGTACAAGTTGCCCATGGTTTTAATGCCACAGTTTCTTCTTTCTAATTTATAAATTACTAATCAATTACTTAACATAGGATACCAAAAATGTTGCATACAGTATTATTGCATCATTTATAACAGTATCATTTTCGCCTTTCTGATTTATCAATTACTCAACATTAAGTACAAAAAGGTTGTTACAAAAAATATGTTGCACATAATTTTATGCATCCTTTGTATCACTTCCATTTTTTAAAATATATTAATTATAAAACAATGGAATGATGGATATTACGAGGATTTTTTTTTTAAAAAGCTGAATTTGGTTTTATTTTATCATGTGTATCATTTCCACCTTTTTAATTTATGAATTACTAAAATCTGTTCTTTCTTTTCTTTGAAACATTTACAAAATCCATATTTTGATGTTAATAGTTTCCTCTCAAACAATAAACACACCTCATCATCAATTTTGTTCTGAGCATCTTCTTCAGTTTCTTCTTCAGGAGAAAACAAGGACTTCTCCCCGTAACCAGCATCCTGAAACAAAGTTACAACAATTACTGTCTCATTCAAGAGTGAAACATCAAGCAGGACAGGGGCAGTAAACTTCATATAAAACTGGCATAGGGACATTAAACATTTAACTAAACTCGAATATTGACAGTAAACATATGTGGACACTAAATATTTTGACACAACTAGGACATGAATAGTAAAATCTGTCAAGTAAATACTAAAACAATAAACAAAACTGGGATATGGACATCATATAACACATTGACGAAACTAGGATATGGACATCATATAACACATTAACAAAACTGGAATATGGACATCATATATCACATTAACAAAACTGGGATATGGACATCATATAACACATTGACGAAACTGGGATATGGACATCATATAACACATTAACAAAACTGGGATATGGACATCATATAACACATTAACAAAACTGGAATATGGACATCATATATCACATTAACAAAACTGGAATATGGACATCATATAACATTAACAAAACTGGGATTTGATCAATCCATTCTGACTTTTACCTTTACATGCAGTGCCCACCATATCTACCTGAAGACACCAGCTGAAAGTCTTTCCTGTTCGTCCACTTCTGGACTTTGGTTTGGTTCTATGAATTGAGTGCTCATAGCAGGTCCATTGTACAGATCTAGCGTAAATTTGTGTGTGTGTGTGTGGTCTCAGGCAGAAGCACTTCTTCTTCGACAGAAAAGTTGATCCTGTGTTGGCCAGGTGCCAGGTATGGGACCTGTTTCTAGGATGGCCGCAGATATGTGTTAGACAGGTTTAGACCAGCGTGAGCCCTGGTGCTGGTGCATCGCATGTGGTTCAGCAACTCTGTATACCCAACATTATTTAACTTGATAGTATCAGCAAAATTAATGTTGCCTGGGTAATGCCAACAGAAAATGGGTCATGGCCCTACGGAAATTTCCCAAGAAATCCTTAAACAAAAAGTGATTTTATAAAGGTAACATATTTTTTTTAACATAAATTTATGTTTCACTGGGAGGGGGAAGGGGTTAATTTATATAAATTTATAAAAAAGGTAGAATTAATAAACACGAACACTGAAGCATTAAATGGAATACATTCCCCAGGAGCGAGAAGACCATGCCAGCCACATTTACTTCCCAGGACATTTTCTGGGGCCTGTTCAAGGCTAGGGCAAACTGAGAGCCAAAATCAAAATCTGCCTCAATATGGATTTAAACCCACAACCTTTGGGCTGGCAGTCAAGTGTCTAACCACTGTGCTACTGTGGCTTCGTATACAACCTTAACTACAAATAATTATATGCTGACAAAACTTGTATTATTGCTGTCATCATGTGATAGGACAAAGAACATACCTTTAACCTCTGCTCGGCAGTGGTCAGACTATACCAGGCGCAGCACTGTTCTGGCGAGACCATTGCCCTAATTTCTTCCTCTGTTGGAAGTCTAAAATCTGGCTTCAGGACCCACCAGTTTGAATCCATACCTTTGTTTTTTAAAAAAAGGTGTATGCTTATGATTTGAGGAACACAGAAAGCCACAATAACAACAACAAATTTGGGAGGCACTGTTCACATGATCAAAGAAAGTCTTCACACCACCTCTGCTTTATCACAAAGTAGCTTACAGGCCAGAAGAGGATCAGCAGCCAATATATTATTTATTACCCCCAACATCAGAATGTCTGGACAGAAAATATAAGATTTGCTGAAGATCTGATTCTTTTTAGGCAATAATGGGAAGCATGGAGTCAGCACCAAATTATGCCACAGGGGAGGATTAATGGGCATGTTTTAAGCCCAGTTCAGCCTGGAAATAAATGACAATCGGCCATCATGTTATAAATATCACACTCACCTCATTTACTTCCCAGAATATTACCGGGTACCCATATCTGGGCTGGCTTGACTTAAAAGCCCATTCATCATCACCATCCTTTGTGTACCATTAAAAGTCACAATGGGCTTGCATTAGATTCCTCCACTCCGCTCTATTGCATGCAACATCCTCGATTTCTGACATGGAGTTCAGCCCAGAATTTTTAGCCTCTCATAATAATGTTCTTCCTGATTCGTCTGGACATCCTCTTTTTCTCAGGCCATTTATTTCCCATTTCAGTGCCTGTTTTGTAATTGTCTGCTCTTTTCCCCTCAGAGTGTGCCAAATATATCTCCACCTTCTTTATCATACTGCAGTCAATACAGGTATTTGTCCAGACATTTCTCTGATCTCCTCACTCTTTTTTAATGCATCCCATTTTATGTTCACTTTTCTCATACATTTATTTTTCAAATGCATTTAACTTCCGTTCCATATCTTTGGTTGTTCTCTAACTTCGTGGCATATGTTACAATTGAAATAATATTAGAACTGAAGATTCACAGTTGGGTCTTCAAGCTGTATAACCTGGAGCCCCATATTTTGTTATGGCTTTTAAAGACTTTTGTTACTTTGCCAATGCATATCATAATTTCCTTCGCATCTTCCTGAGAGTCAAAACTGCTTCCCACATAGGTGAAATGGTTCGTTGCTTTTATTGTTTTGTTCTCAAGCATGAAATCTACATGATCTGTTGTTGGTATCTTTAAAATATTTGTTTTCTCATAACTTATCTGCAGTTCTATTTTTATGCTGTAGATGACAAATCATCTTCATTTGAACAGCCCACTGCAGTTTGAAAAATCTGCCTTAACCAAGGTCTACAGGTATGATCACCAGGCCACCGGTGCACTGAACTGACTTGACTCATAAAGAGCATAACCCTTTTGCACAGTAAGAATCCTAGAACAAGTGGCCCATTTCAAATTTTCACATGCACACAAAAAAATGCATCAGTATAATTTACTGAAATTCTATCTTAAGAAAACAGAAGCAGTGAAGAAACAGCAGAAGAAATGTGGAGCTTTGGTCAGGATTTAATAAAAATCCAGGGGGTTGAAACATGGCCACCGAGCACAGAGGCAAGCCTGTAATTGTATCATCGTGCCCCCCCCCCCCCCCCCCTCTCCGACACTGAAAAGCTGCATGTTTCATTTTCAGAGTCACTATTTTACTTAAAGCAAATTTTTATTCAATATAAAGGGACAATCACTAAATAGAAATAACTGCTTTCCTTTACTTTGACAAAAGAAAACCGGAAGGGGGAGGGGTGGTGTGTGTGTTTAAACAGGCACAATGAGTAAAGGGATGTCATTTTAAGTTTATAATTATGTCACAATTACCAGAAGAAGAAAAAAGATTTTTCCCCACCTAAAAAATACCTCTGAAAAAAAAAAATTTGGGGGGGGGGGGGGGGGGGGGGGGGGGTGGTAATATAACCATAGCCACCATGTCTACATATTATGTAGTTGCAAAGCCTTTATACAGGCGCACTGAACACTGCCCAAGCTTATCATGGCATCAAAAACCCATAAAAGTTGAGTGTCATTGAAAAGTAGGAAGACACTATCGAACCTGTTCTCTTAAAATCTGCACAAAGCTTAAGACGTTTCCTGATGCTGCTCTCTGAGTGAGACAGAAATGCTTTCTTAATGTCCTCCATCTTGATCCTGCGAGGCTCATCTTTGCTTTTCCAGAACAATCGATAGATGAAAACCTGCAGGGGCACAAACAGTTTAATGTAGATTTTTTTTTAACCATCTTTTTTTAGTTAAGGAGATTTTCTGTAGAATCAATCCTGCTATGGAAGTTTGTCATGGACAGTCATCTGATTAGCGAACAATTACGTGAAAAATGTAAAAACTGATTTTATAACATGATGAGAATACAATGGACAGACTAAACATGAAAATGTCTTGAAAAAAATTACCTTATCAAAAGATGTGATTAACTGGGTCCCAAGGAGACAATCTAAATTCTGTGATCACATTCTGAGAAGGAAAACTGGAGCATGTTGTGACAATGGGAAAGTTGGAGAGAAAGAGAGACAAGGAAGATTCTAGATAGTTTGGATACCGACATAAAAGAACAGCTGTGCCTGCCAGCAGTGACTGAAAGAACACAAGAAAGAAGTCTGTGGACAGACATGACACAGGGCACAGACTGTGAGATGGAGGAACCTCCAAAATGTGCATAATTTTGTTAGAATTGAACTTTCTTCAAAGCAGTAGTGGGAGCCTTTTCCAGGCCATAAACCTGGGGTTTCTTAGTAAAAAATAGAAACTGGCAGGAAGAGATAAATGGCTATTTACCGTGCTACCTATGTGTCAGTTCTAACCTATGGGTGTGAGTCATGGCCAATGACAACAGCTCACAGAAGCCAGTTTCAGGGGTCAGAAATTAGACACGCATATTCTTTTTCTAAGCATTCTAAACTCAGCCGGAAAGTTCTTACTGCTTCGATAAGGTCCGGTTTCCCATGAATGCCACTTAGCCGACATTTCTACAGTAATATGTTTTGTGGTTTAATGGGGCGAAATGGATATTTTGCTACCAGATTTAGCCACTTTTGATTCTCAAAGATTTTCCAGAGTGAAAGCTCCTCTAGACTTTTGTTTTCTTGTTTTGATATTATTGTTCCCCAATCACTTTTGTCTCCAAAGCTGCCTATATATGCACACCTGCCTCTTTAAGTGGGGTTTAACCTGGAAGATTAAGTTTAAATCTGCATGGCTACATTATCTTTGCCATTTCCCTCATTCATTTTTGGACCTAATTACTGTGAACTTCCACCAAGTGTATTTAAGGGGTCACTATTCCCCCCCCCCCCCCCCCCCATTTTTTTTAATTTACAGAGTTAGAGCAATTATTTTATAATGGTCACTTGAAGGGATACATGTTATTACATATGCATACTTTAAGTGCAAAAAAATCATGGTTGTCATGGCAATAGCCGCCATCTTGTGGAGAAAAAAAAATGTACTTAGAAGCCTAAAATTTCAAAAACAAACATACTTAAAAAAAAATAGATGACAGATTGATGACCTTTTATCTTATTTAGAGGTACAGGTGTAGTTTATTTACTTTAAACATGTTTTTAAGTATTTTTCGTAGAATTTTATAATGTAGGTTTATTGAAAGAAGTCCAAAAAAATCTTGCATCATAAGACAATAATCAAATTTTAAAAAACAAAAACTTTCTAAAAATCTACTTTTGAAAAGACCAGTATCTATAATATTGTTTAAGGAGTATTCATACTGAATTTCATATTTATAGTCTTTATATTAGATGAGATTTTAGGATTTCACACACACAACAAACAGAAATATAGAGATGTGAGAAAACTGACCTTTCAACTTTTTATTTATCTTAAAAAAGTGCATGGATTGGTGCCTTTAGTATTAACTTTTCAAAGCTAAATTGTTTACAAATGACATAAATTTTGTGCGTAATCTATTCTACGAATGCAGAATTTTACAAAAACGAACACATTTAAAAAGTGATATTTTTTTCATAAATTGGGAAAAATGCCGTGTAGTGACCCCTTAAATTATCTTGTAACTAATTCTGCAATTGTAACACAAGGGCAATGTTATCAGAAAAGTCCACATGTTTTTTTTTTTTTAAATCTTTCTATGTTACCCAGCTTTGCCTATCTTAGTACTTCATTTGTTTACAACTTTTGAAGTGAAGCTGCGTAAAGGGAGATAAAATTATCAAACCATAAATTCCAAACACAAATACGGACAGCAATCACATCAGACTTCACAAATATGCTTCAAAAACTGCAACAGGCAGTACATGCTCTGAATGGGTGGAGAGAATTCAGAAGCCGCACTTAACCTACCTCCTCTGGAACTACACGCCTGGGTATGCCGGTGTAAAAGATAATAAAAGAGCTGACCAACTGGCAAATAATGCACCAATCAATGTGGGAAGAAGCATGAACAGAGCTGAAAGCATGGACTAGGCCGGTCAATATTGACACAAACATACATGCATGACCTGGGAGTAAAAATGGTGAAGCATGTCTGTGCCATTTTCAAGATCACGATTAGAGACATTATAACCCTCATGGGGACAAACAGTAGAGGCCACCTTGGAGTGCCTACTGCATCAGAGCACTGGGCATTATGGGAATGCCCGACATGCAGTGATGTGGACTGTGACAACATAACAAATACCATCAATCATGCTGTCTTGAGCAGCCAGTAGATACACACCTGCAGAAAGTCTCGAACAAAGTTATTGGCCCTCTTAGAATTTGGTCCTGGCACTTCCATCAGAGGACCCTGTTGTCCGACGGTGTATATGGTCTCAACATCACGAATGAAGTACCTGCAGACAGATTTTACATCACATGTGTTCAGCTTTGTCACCAACAAACACACCTGTCATAAGGTGAACTTACAAGCAGTAGAATTTTGAATTGAGAATTGGCATCACAGCAAATAGGACAATCCTATAAGCGCTCCGTTCCCATCTTCAGCATCGTGCAGTTCTGATTCAGATCACCAGTAACAGTCTGATTGTATATCAATCTCGCCTTTCCTATGAGTGCTGAGCATCAGCCAGATCCCCCGGTCATTACTCACAGCACCATTCTCCTCAGATAGTGATGATCTATTTGTGCACCCACATTTTATACTCGCTCCCTAAGGGCACTTACAACATCTATCTTGCCATGCATCAATTTAACACCCAGCAATGCAGAACTAGCCAATCTATCTGCCTAATTGTTTTCCAGCATAACCTGCAGAAAATATCCAAAGGGTGCTAACTACCCGGGACCTCTGAAGTGATGCTTGTCATTTGCATGGAGCATCCTGTCTCCAACTTTCTCTCAACATGCTCTGTGAGTCAGTTACAATTACAAGAAGTAAAGAATCGATAAATTTTTTTTTAGATAGGACAATTTAAAGTAACTGCTGAAAATAAAATTACAAGACAAGGATTCGTCTATAGTTATATTTGGAGAAACTAGTACTAAAAAAATTGCTAAAATCCATCTATACTTACTTATGCTTTAACAAATGCCAGAATCCCCCTTAACTTACGTATGTCCCAACAACCAACAAATGTCAGGATCCATCCTAACTTACCTATGTCCTAACAACTAAGAAATGCCAAAATCCAACTTAACTTACCTATGTCACAACAACCAACAAATGCCAGAATCCACCTTAACTTACCCGTGTCCCAACAAGTAAAAAAAATCCAGGATCCACTTTAAATCATTATGTCCCAACAACTAACAAATGGCAGGATCCATCTTAAATTAATTTTGCTCTAATAAATGCCAGAATCAACTTGAACTAAAACAACTAACAAACGCCAGAATCCACCTAACACGAACAACCAATAAATACCAGGATTTGTCTTATATTTCAAAACAATAAATGTTAGGATCCATCTTAACTTACCCATGTCTAGTCCTAATAACAAGAAAGTCTGTCTGGGGCACAATGTGCTCATAGATAGGAGAACGGAACATGTTGTTCTCCAGAGCCTGCAGACAGTTGCCAGGTTTCAGGGCTCCAATGAAAGGTGACGTGTGAGCGTAAGCTAGTTCTCCATACTTGAAGGTTGGAGGGTTTGAATCTTTGCCAGGTTTCTGCAAGAAATAGTCTCACAGACTTAATACTATTTATGTGCATTTTTAATCAAAATGAATGCATATTTTCAACTTAGTTCTATGTGATGTATAAAAAGGCTCAACAGGATCATAACTATAATGAAGTGAATTTTTAGAATTATGGCCTGTGCAATAAAAAAAAAAATCCAAAAAGGAAGGAGTGCCTGGAGAGTTGGAATATCCCCTCCTCTTTTACATTCAATAAATTTTTAGAGTTCTTTTCTAATACTTTATTTTAAAGATAAAGATGTAATTATTTTGTTTCTCTTCCGATAGTTGAGTGTAGGTCATGTCCATAGATCACTCCCTGCAGCACCATTCTTCAGACCATGATGGTCTGTTTGCTCTTTTACACTGTTAGCTTGCTCCCAAAGGGCCTTGACCACATCTACCTTGTCATGCATCAGTTCACCAAGTGGCACAGAAGCAACCAATCTGTCTGGCTTTCTTAACCTCAAACTTTCCCAGTTAACACAATGGAACTGACCAATGAAATATCTTCCTTTAATGTTCATTGCATTCAAGACAGCATTACGATCCAATGCTTTTATGATTGTTGCTGTATTTGTTATTCGACCTATGCTTGACTAATATACATTTCTGTAACCTATTGTTATGACCATGGTTTGAGACAAAGTAAGTCTGCATTCCATAGTTAAGGTTCCAAGCTGTACGACAAACATGGTTAATGAAGACACCCTTTCCAGGGATGCCTAGTTAGTACACTTGTTTCTGCAGCAAAGCTCATTTAGAGGTGACAGGTTTGATTCCTAGCATGGTAACTACAGCTTTAAACTGTTGTCTAGTGTGTCCTTCTATCTTTCTACTTCTTTCTCTGAGTGCCAATAAACACATGTCTGTTTGTTTATTACATATAAACTTTCCCATTTCTATGAGGCACACAAGTTTTTCCCCTTTTCATAATGTGACCAAAAAGGCAGATTGTGTTTCTTTAAAGCAGTTTTTTGAAATATCTTCATTTCACAGGGAAACAATATCAGAATCAATTTGCTCACCCTCTTGTAGTAATTCTTGATCTTGGATGCCATTCCCACTTGCATCATCAAAGGAGGGTATTCCTCAGAGTACTCTGCCAGGATGAGTTCTCCATCCATGCCAGTTAGGTCTTGAGGCGTCCTCATAAAGAAAATCTCCCCACCACCAAAAGCCTGCCTTTCCTGTTCTCTTATCTGAGGATTATCAAGTTTTGATTTTTAAAGAAGAAACAAAACAAAAAACATTAAAGGAAAACATAAATACAATCAAAAACACAAAATATCCATAGTTACGAACGGACGAACAAACTTTACTTTCAAAGGGTTACAAACTCAAGAGCTGGTTTTTCTGTTTGAATGTGAATGCTGGTCAATGGGTTATGAAATGGTGAAGAATTGTAATCATAGGGAATGTGGTTTCTAAGAAGAATGGTGTCCCTGTGTAGTTAATTGTGGGGTGGGGGAGAGAAAAAGAACTACTACCCCAAGGAGTTTTGAAAGGCATTTTGAAACAACAAGACATGGAATTACATAAATTTAGATCTTTATCATTTGCCAGAGCTTTCTATATGGGTTATGGAGCTCACTGCCCCCCATACCCCACAATCATGTCATAGAAGGCGACAAATTAGATTGTCTAAATGCATCTGCTTGAAACAGAAAGAACCAACAGTCTGCATACAAGATCTGTAAAACAGATGTGCACACAAAACTCAAGTTATAGATCAAAACCAAAGTCCAGGACTGGACAACAACTAGAAGTTTACAGCCAGTAAATGCTAGAAGATCTGCCAGAGCAGATAGACATTAATGTAAATCTTTATCATTTGCTGGATTAAGACTTGGGTGGTGACAAACATAAATCTATATCTTTATCATTTGATGTAATAAGACTTAGCAGGTATGGACATAAATCTAGATCTTTATTATTTTATGGAATAGGACTCACAATGTGACTAACATAAATGAAGAACTTTATCATCTACCAGAGCAAGATAGGGAGGAGCTATACATAAATCTAGATCTTTATCAGTAGCCAGAACAAGACTAACTGGGTATCAAACCCTAGATACTGATATTTTTCAGACTTACCTTAGTTAATCTACTTACTTTAGAACAGACTTACTAAAGAAGACAGACTTTAAATAACAGACTACCTTCAAATAACTACCTTACTTTTTTAAAAAATTGTTTACTCTGGATACCAGACTTACCTTGGCCTTCCTCTTTATGACCTTGTTGAGGCTGTGAACAGGATGAGGCCCAAATGAGGCCAGAGGGCCATGTGAATACTTCTTGAGTAGTGGTCGGTGGAACGTCCTCAACTTGCTGGGGCCCATGTGGGTGGGGAAGAATGGCTGCCGCAGCTCGGCAGCTGGTGTAGAGTGCTAAATAAATATGTTACAAAAGTTACAAAACTGAAATTATTTTACTTGACACATGCTGGGCTGAATGCACATTGACTGATGTATTGCCATTCAGGTTAAGATAATCCAGAAAAGGTTCGCATCTATCAGAGTGATTCTGGGGTACAGATTTTCTGCCTAATCCACCACCAAAGTACCATCTTTCGCTGAGACCAAAATAACGACAGCAGGGGGATTTAACCCTGCCACTCCAAGAATGTTAAACAAGTCACTTCCAATTGTGACACAGCCCCGTAAATGATGATATATCACCATTTCTGCAGTGAACTGTCCTCAGTAAACGTATTCAAATGCCACTGGTTATGTGTGCGCATAAGTAATGTTTAAGGGGCCCACATGTTAATATATTAACCAAATATAGCATTTAGATTTCCTGCAAGCCTCAGTGATCAAGATCACAGCATTAGTCACTAATATATATTTGTTTTAGGCCCCAGGAAATGCATTCAATATAATGCTTCGCTCTGTTGTTGTTTAGCAATCATTGCCTTCTTTATATTTTTTAACATTTTTTTTATGTAGATAAATAAATTTGTAAAAGTTTTGTTATCCTAGTTCTGTGTGTATGTGTGTGTTGTTTTTAAGGGAAATTCCCCCAGGTTCATTATTTTGTCTGTAGGGTGAAAGGGTTAAACAAATGCCTTTAAAGAGACTGGTGCCTAAAAAGAGCACCATAGACCGTTGAGTCATGCTACTTTTAAAAGTCTTTAGTGCAGAAAAAGAAACAGAATGAGACAGAGAAAAGAAAGGAAAAATAAAATGTTCCAGAAAAAGAATTAAAAGCAGAAAGAAACCAAAACAAAAAAAAAATAAAGCAAACATTTTACATCAGGAGCACATCAAACATACGATGCTAGATTTATATTTGTATAGATCAATCGGAAACTGCCTGGTACCTTTAGGCTGATCTGGGAGTGAGAAAAAAAAATGTCTCACATTCACCACATTGTGGATTGAAACCCAAGACCTTCGGGCCAGCAGGTAAAAGCAGAACAGACAGTCAGAAATAGATCAGTAACAAAGAAAGCATACAATGTTGATGGATTACCTGCACCACAGAACTGCCTATGTTTGGTCTAAGAGCGTTCTCCATCTGCTTGGGGCTGTAGTACTCATCGTTTGACAGGTTGAACACATCCTTGGCATTCACTGCATTTGGAACCTGAAATTTTGAATACAGATAAAATTTAACTGGCTTCAAACTATCAAGCAGAGTGAAACTTAGTTTACCTGGACAACTTTAAATATAAACTGAGATCTCCATCTTCGCCTTCACCAGTTGTAAACTCCAGCAGAAAAGTTCTGGCTGTCCATTCACTTCTGGACACATTGGTCTTGTTCCACGCTTGCTAGTGGCACACTAAGCCTATTCTTTTTTCCTCTTCCATAGTTCTGTTCTGTCTTTTGGCGTCAGGTTCTGAAGAGGCACCAGGAGTGAGCCTTGGTATATCCTATGTAGATGCTGTATTTACGGCCTCAGATATTCCATCCATTCATCGCTTCCATGGTCGACCTCTACTTCTGCTTCAGTTATGTCTAAGTGACAGGGCTCTCTGTGGTGCACTGTCTGGTGGAAGTCTTGACACATGACCAAACCACTTGATGTCTATTCTTTTCCCCTTTAAATGGGGCCTCGGAACCTGCATGGAGACATCGTGGTGCAGCAGAGGGTCCTGTGTGTCCCAGTGGCCCCAAAAGATATTCCGATGACAGCTTAGCTACTGGAAGGTCTTGCGTGTAAGACAGGTCAAGGGATAGGAAGCACAGAAACACAACCCCACTGTCTTGCATTTACTAAATATAACACAACATGTAAATAGGAAATACGACAGAGGAAAGCGAAAAGACTTGCATAAATAAAACTGAACATTTCAATTCTAAATCCCTCCACTGAGCTTTCTAGTAAAGTTTGTACTATATTTAGTACTTCTTGAAATAGATCAAGTGCATCACTCCTATTTAAATCACCACTTTAGATGCCTTGCAGGTAGACTGGACACAAATGCTAGGGAAAGCAAAACTTTGCAGATTTATTCTTGCTTAAGTTGGATGTATTAAGCTGCAAGCTTGTAAAACAGTGGAAGGTAACTCTCTTTATGACTGTCTTCAGAATCGAAGCCCTTGAGATTCGCTGCAGCCGATATCACCTGCCTCCATTCATCTCTGTAATAACTGACCTTCTCTGCCCAGTTGGTGACTCCAAATATTTGTAGTTCTGCCTGTATATAATTTCTTCACCGTCTTCTTGGCCTACCTCGTTGTCTACTCCTATTGAAATTCTTTGTGTAAAAAGCTGTTGCCGCTCTGCTGCCGGTCTCTCTAAATGCCCCAACCATTTCAGTCTATTGGTTCTCCTTACACCAGCGATCAGTGATGACTTAAACAGACTGAATTGCACTGTTGCTTCTTGCTCTCCATTCCCTACTGTTTGCATTTTTGATGGGTCAAAGATTCATAGTAAGACTGTTCTAAAAAATTGTGTAATTTTTTAGCTGTTCTTCATGTTTCACAGCCATAAAAGACAACTGGTTATATCAATGTTATAATCTTGGTGCTGGTTGACGAGAGAAGTTAATGGGGCTGGATTGGATTCCATCCATGGTATCAAAGTGATTGTAAGGATAGACTGGAATGGAAAAATAGACAGCGAGCCTTATGTGAAACATCATGGCACAACAGGACAATGAATGAGTGAATCTTGGTTTTATGCGAAAAAGTATTTGATTTAAGCAGATGCTGTAAGGCAAAGTATACCTTATTTCCAAACTGTTCTCTAGATTCTACAAGTCTACTGACAAGACATTGACCTGGCTGCTTCAAAAAGCTAAGCTAAGTGATTTTGTGTATTTGTGTGGTTTTGTTTAATTTATGTATGTGCTAATGAAAGCTCTGTAGCCGCAACGTTCACATTTTGTTTGTGTTTGTTATATTGTGAAGCTTGCTGATATACTTTCCGTTATAATATATAAGCTTTTAACAGAGCACGGAGATGACTAATCTATGACTGCAAACTGAAACACTAAATGAAGGTGTGTCCTTCTGTCAATATCCTGTAGCTGGATGCTGCTCTTATTTAAACAGTTTCTTTTGGGAAAACTATATTTTGCCACATCTTTTCCAGATGTCAAAGTTTTCTTTTCACTCTTGATACAACAAAGACAACAACATTCATATTACCTCTTCTTTCTCATCGTTACCATCCTTCAGAATGCCTGCTTTCCCCAGCAAAATTTTACTCTTTCTCATGTTTTCCTGCACGCAAATAAAAATGTTGATTTTATAAAATATGAACAATAAACATATTTCATTAACAAGTATTTGTATAACAAAACAATAAGACTGGATGTTTTTAAAAAAACAATTCTGGTAAAAAACATAAAATCAAAACTGAAACATAATTTAATGTCTCCGTCACAAGAAAACATAAAACTGAAGGTACTGCTAGAATAAAAGTCATATTAAATGAATTTATGGCATCTTTCTGCCTTTCCAGACACTACTGTGTGGTGGGGAGGCATGGGAATGAAGCTCTTTCTCTCCATAGCACAAAGCCTTGGTAGTACTGTAGAGTCCATGTGATGCCCATGCACCATGATCCCTCGCTTTGCCTGCCTTGTTTACTCCAAAGGAAAAGGAAAACAAAATGTTTGGGATAAAGCGTGCTGCAGAAGCTGCCCGGTCAGAAGTGTAGTGCTCTGTTTGTCCACCTGTCATAGCTTCCCTCCTAGACCAGCTGCCAACACCAAGGCAAGGGCCTGGTGTGTTCTTGTTTATTTCCTCCTTTTAGGATAAAGCTAGTATCCTTCCCAAAGTGCTCCTCCACTCAAAGACGGAAACTCAACAAGACTAGAAGAATGCTACTCCATCCGAGACCAGACAGGTGGAACACCTTGTACGGAGGAAAAAAAGAACAGCTTGTGAAAACATGCAAATTCCACTACATGGCATTGGACCAAAGGGCGAAAGCTCATGCGCCGCTGGATCAATAACAACAACAACCCAAAGACTGTGGCACAATGTGGGATGTCAGCTTTGGTATATGCCGCCCAACATTCACCATTAACAGAAAACAGGTAGTAATGACTACTGTTGTGCAGTAACTTTGCCATATCTGACCAAGACCTGATCACTACTGAATGAATTAAAGATAAAGATCCATTTTTATGTTAGTGGATAACAGGTAAAGATCAAAAGGCACTCAATGAATGAAGGGGTCAACATCAAAATGGCTGCCCCCCATGTGGGTTCCGGGGTCCCTTTGTAGGGGAAAACAAGAATAGACCCACTGCCTCCCCAAAAGCATGTCGTAAGAGTCGACTAATTGGGGAGCTTCCTTTGAAGTCGGAGTGCATCTGCCGGAGAGGCAAGGAACCAACAGTCTGTATTCAAGAGAATGAGATCTGTAAAACTGATGCACACGCAACACTCAGGTTCTGGAGCAGGACTGCAGTTCAGTAGTGGACAAGCAACCAGAACTTTCTGCCAGAGTGTACAGCTGGTGAACGCAAAGAAAATGGCTGCCTTTACATCCCATGAGATTTTTCAATTTTGAACTGAGTACTGAAGTCACTGTTAAAATCCAACATAACGACGGGAGGTACTGCAGCAACAATATTATAAAAAGTGAAAGTACTGCAACAACAAAACATTCAAACAGAGCATTTTGAAAATACATAGCTGCAATATAAACATGACATATTCAAAGACAGACAATGAAACAAAAACAAGCTACATGCTTTAATCGTGACCACAAATTAAACCCCAGCCATAAAAACATCTTAGACAGATCATATGAAAGCATCCCCTTATCATTCTTGGTGACTAAGACAGACAACAAAACAAAACTAAGCCCCATACAGAACTCCATGCCAACAAAACTAGAACCCAGGCATAAAAACATCTTAGACAGAACATATGGAAGCATCCCCTTATCATTCTTGGTGACTAAGACAGACAACAAAACAAAACTAAGCCCCGTACAGAAGTTTATGCCAACAAACTAGACCCCAGCCACAAAAAGATCTCAGACAAAACATATGGAAGCACCACCTTCTCCTTCTTGGTGACCGTATCCTGCTCCGACTGTTGGTTGGGGTCTATGTCATCAGGTATTTCCAGTATGATGTTTTCATCGTTAGCGTCCAAAGTGAGGACCTTTGGAGTGGGCACAAAGTCTACGCTCTGAAACAGAACAGAACAATTATTAGATCGTTATGTCACAGCTCCTTTGCAAAACATCGCTCTCATCACAGCCTACCTGAAGCAAACTCGGTCTCTTGCCAGATCTCCGGCCTTGCACATTTTCTGACCCAAGGTGTCGACTTAAATTATGTACCCATCTTCATGATGGTCAGCCCCGGGCCCATTTTCATTCTTGCATGCACATCCATTTTACAAATCTGGCTTATTTGTATGTAGACTGTTGGGTGCTTGCCTCTCAGGCAGATACAATGTGACTTCAAAGGAAACGCCCCCAATTAGTCAACTTTTACAACAAGCTTGTTAGTGAGGCAATAGGTCTATTCTCCTTCATATTCCCCCTCCCCTCCTTTTTCCAACAAGAACCCTAGAGCCTGCAGGGGGAAGAATGAATCAACAATGAAAGCACAAATGAAACTATCTACCTGAGCGTCCCAGATTATGTCCCGCTCCCAGTTCTTGTAGATGAGCGCTTCATTTTCCACAGGGAAGATGGAGTACCACTCACCGTCTTTGCCAAGGTCAGAGTCCACTGTCAAGAAACAGAGGATAGACATTAAGTGTACACTCAATTATTAGCACTTCACAGAATACCATTCCCCTTTCTCCTCCTGAATCAGGCAACTGTTGTTTAAGTACCAATAACTGTTTTCTAAAACACCAACTGGCAATGCAAACAGCAGAGAATGGACAGTGAGAAGCAACAATTAAATTCATAATCAGTGTAAATCACCAGTAATTGCTCATATCATGACAGCTAACAGACTGCAATGGGTGGGACATATAGACAATGTTACACAACAGAAAGATAACAGTATTTACACAGAAGAGTTAAGAAGAAGCAGAAAATAAAGCAAAGAAGATGTTGAAGAAATAATATACAGGCAGACCTGCTAACACTTGGAGTCAGAAAGTGGAAAGAGAAGGCCAATCACAGAGGTGAATGGAAGTAGGAAACCCCAAACACTCATAATGCGGAAGAAGAAAACTAACTCCACCCCCAACAATGGGTACCCAAGTACTTAAACATATAAACTTGCTTGAGGTTTGTCCCATTTACTTTGATATTGCATTTTAAAGGGCAACGTTTTCTTTATAATTACCATTACTTCTGTTTTTCTGCTGTTCAAACATTATAATTATTAGCAATTAAAGAAGGGTTAATCACCTTGACACCAATCCCCCGAAATAAAATATACAAATTAAGCCCCCCCCCCCCCCCCCCCCCCGTGTCCATGCCTATGCTTGTGTTTGCTATAGCAAACCAACAACAACAAAAGTACAACCAGATTTACCAGTCTTGGAGAGAATGGACTTGGATCTCTGCATAAGGCCAGACTGAGACCGTGCTGTGGACAAGATAAGAAAACAAACAATATTGAACAATTACAGTTTTAGACAAAATAAACTGGCAAAAAACATAATTCACAATTTTCATGGTGGATCAGGTTGTGCCTTATTTATATAGACTACAACTGCATGTTATAAATGTACACACAATGACATTAGAAGGGACAAAACTGAACCCAGGATAAAAATACACTATGAAATTAATCCACCGAACTATGACTAAGAATTAATCAAATAACAGAAAGTATTGTGAACGGCACTCATAGAAAGAAGTAGAAAGATAGAAGAACACACTAGACAACATAAAAATCGAAAGCTATAGTTACCGTGCCGGGAATTGAACCTGTCACCTCCAGACGGCGTCTGCGCCTCGCCATGAATACAAGTGCACTAAGATACATGGTCAACTCGGCACCCCCATTAAAAGGTGTCTCATTGACCATGTCTATCGTACAGCTTGAAATCCACGACTATGGAATACGGACAGAATTCATTTCAACCCATTGAAATGGCACCATAGGTTACAGAAATTTATATTACGAGGCAAATGTCAAATAACAATCACAGCAACAATTTACGTACACAGTAGACCTTATTGCCTTGTCTAGAATACACAAACATTTAAGAAAGGTATTTGATTGGTAGGTTCCGGTGTGTATACGTCATTCCTATAAATAAACAGAGAGGGGAACCATTTGAAGCCGTTGAATATTATGAATTAATCAAATAACAGAAAGTATTGTGAACGGCACTCATAGAAAGAAGTAGAAAGATAGAAGAACACACTAGACAACATAAAAATCGAAAGCTATAGTTACCGTGCCGGGAATTGAACCTGTCACCTCCAGACGGCGTCTGCGCCTCGCCATGAATACAAGTGCACTAAGATACATGGTCAACTCGGCACCCCCATTAAAAGGTGTCTCATTGACCATGTCTATCGTACAGCTTGAAATCCACGACTATGGAATACGGACAGAATTCATTTCAACCCATTGAAATGGCACCATAGGTTACAGAAATTTATATTACGAGGCAAATGTCAAATAACAATCACAGCAACAATTTACGTACACAGTAGACCTTATTGCCTTGTCTAGAATACACAAACATTTAAGCTTTCGATTTTTATGTTGTCTAGTGTGTTCTTCTATCTTTCTACTTCTTTCTATGAGTGCCGTTCACAATACTTTCTGTTATTTGATTAATTCATAATATTCAACGGCTTCAAATGGTTCCCCTCTCTGTTTATTTATAGGTATGACTAAGAAGCTTAATTACCTGCACTGTGTACCACACCACTGTGTACCATCAGGGGGAAAAGCCCCGGCTGGCTCATAAACAGCACTGTTTTGGGGGGGGGGGGGGGGGGGGGGGGGGGGGGTTGGTGGCCACAAAATACTTTAGCCATATTAAAACACCAGTACAGTTTGGAAAGAAAAGTAAGGGTGGGTATGGTTTCTGGAATAAATGAATGAATCAAGGACTAACGTCACTGCACTCAGGATATTCCCAAGTGTGCTCAGTCCCCTTTTTCAGGAGCCAACAAAGTGTCGACATGTTTAACAGTACCAGTTGTAACCTGGTTAAAAGTCCGCCTGTTTACTCCTAAATATTGAATATCTTCCTGAACCTCTGCTCACTCCTCCTCCACCTAAACTTGTCCATTTGATCCCAGTCAGCCTTCACCATGTCTGTTTTATCATAAAGTAGCTCACTGCCCCGAGGAGTGGCATCAGCTGACCTATCTGGAAGACAGGAATGGATCACTCAGTAGTATGGTGGACACAGTATTTCAAGGACACCCTGGGCATGACTAAAGTTTACAAGCTAGGAAAGTTGTCAAGAGACCAAGTGTCATGATGACAGCTCCGTCAAAGTGAAACTGCATATAAATGAGAGGCAAGTAACCAGCAGTCCACATATAAATAAACCAGCTATGAAAAAACAAATGTGCATGAAAAAACTCAAGTTCTGGACACAATTCCAAAGTCCAGAAGTGGATAAACAAGCAGAGCTTTACCCAGGAGTTTGCCGCCAGTGAACATAAAGATGATGATGGAAGCAACTTTCTGCAAAGGACCTGCTACAAATTTTTCTTCGTTTCCCTTAAAAGCCCCATTAACAAAGGGATAGCCTATAAACCTACACTGGGCAAAAGTCCTGTTGTTGGTACTGGGCACCCATCCAGCAAACTCCACGTTCTTCTTATGCTCTTCCAGGACTCGTTGCTTGGCTTCCTCTCCATCCCAGATGATTTTATCCTCCCATCTCTGCTGAGTGACCATGAGGTATCGATCATAGTCGAGATCCTTGTCTAGTCTTTCAGCCTCTTCTTCCTCCCACTTCTTGTCTTCCTCCTGGAAAAGTTGCAGAAGACATAAATGAAAGTACTGAATAAATATACAATGGCACACTTCTCTGTCTCTCTGATTCACTAACTTTCATACTATCACTCCTTTTGAAATTCTTTGACACTTTTTTCTATTTCATCAGTCTGTTATTTGTGCGCATCTATTTTACAGATCTGGCTTATTTGTGTGAAGATTGTTGGTTCTTCACCCTGTAGGAAGATGCACAAAGACTAAAGGAAATGCAGATCCTATCTACAGTGGCTGTGAACCTGTTTTGTGGCTGACCACGGCTAGGTGAAAAATAAAAGACAATATTGTGAGAGCATGCATCGTTCCTATAGCAACATATGACTCTGAGTCCTGTATTATCTTGCAATAGTGAAAGAAGAAAATCAGAGCTTTTGAGCTGAAATGCTATAGAAAATTCTTAGAATACCGAATGCATAGAAGACAAGAAATGTTGTCATCCTAAAATATCTTAACATCAAAGGAAATTGGCTCATAAACAGCAATGAACAATGAAAAACTTCAACTACATCAATTGTCAAGGTGGCTTGGAAAGAACAGCAGCAGAGGGCATGGTACAGGTAAGAGGGGTGTGGAATGACAAAGATGGGCACAGGACATAGAAGACACCATAGGCAGGAAAGAGCATGAGGAGAGACAGCTGGCGAGACAGCAAGTTGCTTACAGATGGGCTGTGATTGCAGAGATGTCCTATAAAGAAGCTGCTATATGACGACGACATCCTCTCCCCTTACTTTCCCATCTTTTACTTTCATCTCACTTGCACCCTTCTTTTTTATCTCTCTTATTCATTATGTGTGTGTACTTTTGTATTGATGTGCATGTGTGTGTACACGCATGCTTATGTAAGTGTATATGTGAAAACTGTCGACTCACTGGCTTTAACTTGAAGCCATACTGGAAGCCTTGACCCGTCTCGTCCACCCCCAGGTAATCATACCAATACCTGGAAGGACCATAGCGCCAGGGGGCCACATCCACATCCTGGTCAGTGTCCATCATTTTGGAGTGACCTCGGCTAGAGTAGAGATCTAGTGGTCGCTTCAAAATATTCTGAAAATAGATTGGTCATATCTGTTATGTAAGTCAATTTTCTTTCAGTAGACAAATACATTACACTGGATAAAGAAGGAAGCTGAATGGTCATAGACCATGAGGCAGACCAAGAGGATGAAGGAAAGAAAATATCCAGATAGACCTGCAAACACTTGGTGTCATCATCTGGAAAGAGATGTCCAACCAGAGAGATGAGCTGAAGTGGGTAATATCTGCAGTAATGAACTTCAAGGGCTGGGAATGCTGAAGAAGAAGAAGAAGAAGAAGAAGAAGAAGAAGAAGAAGAAGAAGAAGAAGAAGAAGGAGGAGAAGAAGAAGAAGAAGAAGAAGGAGGAGAAGAAGAAGGAAAATATTGTTTTACTGCTGTGGATTTAAATTTTACATGAAATTTTATAAATTCAAGGTCGCGATCCTGCGTTATCCTGGTAAAACAGGCAGTTCCTTTCAAGTATAGTTTATACTGCATATCAGTTCAATGGTTTCATTTATCTGTTTCAATATATTCAATAGTTACTGTGGTATACAGCTGAAGATATAAAGTAAATTATGTCTGGGAATAAACTGTGCAATCTGTTACTTTTTTCTTCTTTGTTCAAATTTACAGTGGAGACACCTTGTTTGAAACTAAAGAAAACCTTAAGCAATAAGTTTTTGTCTTTGAAAGTTGGAAAAAATAATTCTTACATGATACTACTTCAGTCCTTTATCTCCAAATGGAGATACAGTTGTTTTATATTGGAGCAAAGGCCTTCAACCATCTCTCACCATTGCAGATGTTACCCTTCATATTTTACTATCTCCAGCGTTCCCCCCCCCCCCCCCAAACATGTCCTCTTTATATTATAATTATATCATCTCTGCCTCAATTTCTTCTCTCCATTTGCCTTTTCATTCCTTTTTTTTTAATTCTTCTATTCGTTCTCTTCAACATCTTCTTCTTTACTTGTTTATCTTCTCCATTCTTAATTTTTATTCTTTTATTCCCTATTTTCATTCTCTTCTTCTTCATTCTTTTCTTCATTTTCGAGGTCCTTATTAGAAATCTTTGAGAACAGAGCTTTACAACCTTTGGCCCCATCAAAGATGTAAAGAGCAGACATGTAGAGGGAGAAGCAACAATACAACTCAAAATTTGTTTAAATCAAAATTAATTATTGACATCATAACAGGTAATTGACTGTAATGGTTGGGAAATACAGAGAGAATTGCAGGCAACAGAGAGGCAAAAAGTGAAAAAGTGTGTACACTAAAAAGAGTTGAATCAGAGCAGACCACAAGAGGCAATCCAAGAAGACGGTGAAGAGATAATGCACAGGCAGACCTACAAACATCTGGAGTCACCAAACGGATATCTGCAGCAATGAATCTCAAGGGCTTGGAATCACTCAGGCAATTAATCAGCATTCCTTTACAGAACGCTCTCTCCATAACACACCTGAAAGTCTTTCTTTCTCTAGCCTATTCTCCAGCCCTGTGTGCTTTCACAGCTAATGCATCTTCAGTGTCCCATATCCAAAACTGCCTCATTTTGTGGAAACTGTGACCTCAATCATCATTCTCTCTGGACCAACAAGATACTTGACATTCCGACATATTTCAGCTTTCAGAAGAGGATGCTGTTTATGAGCAAGTTCTCCTTGATGTTCAGGTCATGCAGGACCTCAATGTTTTTCTTCTTTTTGGTCCATGGAATCTAATAATTTCTGTGGAGCATTTCAGTTCAAAAGCTAGGAATACTGAAGAAATATAATAATAATAATAATTTTTTTTTCCTAGTTGGTTTCTTGTTTTGCATAATCCCAAAATGCTAACCTTACAATATTCAAGCTTGTCTACACATATGCGAGCTGCTTAGCCTAGTGGCTAGACACTCGACTGTCAGCCCAAAAGTTCAAATTTGCATCAAGATAGATTTTTATTTTCAACACTGAATCTGGCTTCCAGGTTGACCCAGCCTAAAATGAGTACCAGGTAATGTCCTGGGAAGTAAAGATGGCCGACAGGATATTGACCCCCATCAACTACTATGTGCTGATTGGTCTATAGAAAACTTCTTCTATGCGTTCACCAGCTGTAAACTCTTTTGGAAAGTTCTGGTTGTTCGTCCACTTCTGGACTGCAGTCCTGTTCCAGAACCTGAGTGATGTGTGTGCATCTGTTTGACAAATCTGACACATTTTTGTGCAGACTGTTGGTTCCTTGCCTCTCAGGCAGATGCACTCCGACTTCGAAGGAAGGGTCTGTAGAAATATAAGTCCAGCATCATCTGTCAAATGTGCCCCTGGCGTAAAAGGGTGTAATTTACGCTACTTTTGTACCACACACACAGTTCGACTAATCAAAAGATTTGTCTTGTTCAAGCTGCTAGCTAGAGGTCAACCACCTCAAGATTGTAAAAGAAACTCAGGATGTAAGACCAACAGAGCAGATCCCTGCTACCCTGCGCAATCCTCAAAGAAGTTATGGCTATACCATGCTGCTGTAACATGCAGACTTGTGCAGATAAGGATGTCACATACAGTCAAGTACCGCTAATTAGAACCCACAAAAGAAGAGAAATTAGAGAAACAAACACAACATCCTTTCTTACCTCATCATCCTCCATAAGCTCTTCCTTCTTTGGAGGTCTCCCAAGATTAAGTTTTATGTCTACTTCCTCTTCACTCTCCTCATCTTCCCCCTCATGGGCGTCTTCCTCTGTAATATCTTTGACTGTTTCAGTATCCTCCTTGATTCCTTGATCTGCCCCATCTTTGAGTGTGCCAGCAGCATCGCCCTTCTCTGGAACACCCACCTCTTTGTCATTACCTCCTTTCGCATCCTTGCTGTCTTTCTTTTTACCATCCTTCTTTTGCTTGTCATCCTCTTTGGCATCCTTCTTGTCTTCATCCTCTTTCTTCTTTCGCTTTTTCCTCCAGATGTGAGGACTATGAGCTGGTTTAAACAGTCTTGAAAATCGCAGGACCTGTGGAGATCAAATGGGCAAATTGAGTATACAGAAATGTATGATTCATTATCATCATCCTGCTGTAGGTGCAGATGTTAAATATAGTTCTCTCCAACTTCTCCCTACCAATTTCAAAAGGACTACACTATGCCCAAAACAAACTTCTTTCAAGTTCACAAACCCAACATATTCTGAGGAGAAGCAAACAGAGAATCACAAAAGAGGCATGGAAATGGGAAACAAATGGATTAAGGAATCAAGGAAATCTCAAAGAAAAAATCAGGTGAACATTCCAAAGGGAGGCCAAAGGTGTTGTACTAAATTTTTGTCCATGTACACTGGTCAAATCAGCTTTTGAACAATAGGTGGTGCATGCACACAACTGGTAGTGCAGTGGTTAAATCTGCCTTACCTCATCTTACTAGCAGACTACGCACAACAAACAAAGTACTGTTGTGCTACAATCTACAGTACCACTAGTATACTATAAACACTAGGAAAAAAAAGTACTACTGTACTACTTTCTAAAGTACTAGTAGACTATAAACTAAAGACAAAGAAGATGTCAACTGCAGTGAGATAAAGTTAAAGTGCTATGCAGAACCTGTGTTGTTATATATGTGTATGAGATATGTGCAATAAGCACACAAGCTGAAAAATATTTACTCGCAGCAGCCATGCGGTTAAAAAAAAAAAAGAATGCAAAGAATATCATGGAATGATAGAACAAGAAATGAGGCAGCCTTCCTTGAGACAGATACAAGTTGTAAACTCAGTAAACAATTAGACACAGACAGTTTTTTTTTTATAGGTGGAGGTGGTTTACACGTTATGATAAAGGATTGGACCCAAGAACTTGGTGACATCTAACAAGACAGTGCTTTCTTAATATCCTACCCCACATAGGGAAAATCCACAGGTCACGGGACAGTCTAATATTTCAGGGGGGTGGTAGACAGGCTGCATGCAGTCGTGGGACTTAGGCTGCATGAAGGCGTGGGACCTAGGCTGCACTCTGTCCTGGGACCTAAGTGGATTGGTTTTGAGGCCAGTTCTAGATGTTTAGGGGTCGTTAAAAGCATCAAAAAGCCTGGAAACCCAGCCTTACCACCCTCTAAAATGTTGAACTGACCTGTGACATCATCTGGGGTAGGATATTACGAAAGAACCAACAAGACTTATGGAAAAAGAGTAAGGATTAAAAAAAAAAAAAGATAAATATCTGGATGGGTTAGCCGCACAAACAGGGGTGAGACAAGAACAGTGATCAGACTCATGATTCTGGTGACCAAGTGAGATGGTGAGACATGACAGCCCAAGCTTACCAGCTCAGCTCATGGTGAGGTGACCAGTAGACTATAAACTAAAGTACTAATGCCAAAGTACCCGGTTCAATTCCAGCTGCAGGCAATTTAGCAGCATACCACTTCATGTTTTGGCAATGGCAGCAAAAGCCAACCGTTCAGGAGCAACGGTAAACTGGTTGGTATCTTTCGGTCTTTCCAGGCGATTATGTTATACTGTGCTATGAGGAGGCATGGGACTCACAGCCCATGATGATGGCAAGTATGACTAGCAAAACCTGCCAGCATTAAGAAAAGCCCGCAATTATAGCATGGGATTTCAGGACAACTGTTGTCAACATCTGTGTGTGGTAAACTACTGAATTGTTTACCACTTTACCTATGTACCAGTCCTGACCTATGGGTGTGAGCCATGGGCAATGACAACAGTTCACAGAAGTCAGCTTCAGGCCTCAAGAATGAGATATCTGAGAAAGATGGCCAAGCGACAAGAAGGGACAAAGTCTGCAATCAGACAATACCTCAAGATCTTGAAACCCATGCCTTACAAACCCAGTGGATCAGTCACATTTACAATGGTTTGCATATGTATGCAGAATGGGAGCAAATTGGCCACCATGGCAGGCATGGAAGGCCAAAAACCAGACCTCCAGAGCGACCCAGGGTCTGCTGGGAAGACAACATCCGACAGTCCCTGACTGACAGAGGACTGGAATGGAACAAAGACAGAAAGAAAACTGCTAAGAGAGACATCTGGCAATCTCTCTAGCAAACCTCTACACCCCAAGGTAGAAGAGGAGCGACTAAGTAAGTAAGTATGAAACTACTGAAAGCAAAAATGCCCAGCAAAACCAAACAGCCAAAAAATGCTGTGGTTGGTTCTGCAACTTCCTGTAAAGGATTCCCAACTACCTTATTTTCCGTAAAGAAGAAGACGTTATGGTTTCTCAAACTTTCTCAGTTTAAAAGTGAGGGTAATCTTATGAATGAAATGAGAGTAAAACTACCTTATTTTTCCACAAAGAAGAAGACGATAAGGTTCCTCAAAATTTTTTCAATTTAAACTGGGGGTAATCTTATACATGGAATGAGAGTTAAATATTTATTTCTTAATTCTGTGCTAAACAGATAGTGGTTGTCTTAAACACAGAAAAATATGGTTACTTTTAACTAAAGTTTATAACTAAGTTTATAGTATCTTACCAAAAAAATTTACTTCTTAATCCTGGCCAAATTAAAAAGCGACATCCTCAAACACTGAAAAATATGGTAATTTTTAACTAAAATACATACCTATGTACAATAACTAAAACAAATTCAGCTGATATATTCAGCTTCGACACTCACCTGACCGTGTCTAAACTCTGGGAAAAGAGAGGTGACATCCACATTGGCCAGCTCTGGGGGCATCATGTCAGCAAGAGGGGTATGCAGCTTTTTGCCGGGGCTCAGGGATGAGGGAGACACTTGCTCACCTGGACACAACACACAGGTAAACATCACTAGACAAAGTAAGAACTGTAAATGTGATGTGTTTGCTGATGAAACGTTTCAAATGTAACTATCAAACAAAGAAATGTTCCCTCTCCTATCTCAAAGACTTTTCTGCCCTGCCTCCATGTGACTTTTCTCTGCCATGTCCCGAAGAGTTCTCTATCTCTCTCTCTTTTGTCTTCTTGTTAAACTGACTTAAGAACCAACATCACAGCATTCTGATCATTCCTATAAATGCTCCATCCTCATCAGCAGCCAACACAGACTTTCAAACAAAACATGGGTCCAAAGACCCCCCCCCCCCCCCCCCAAGACTTTTCTTATCACCAAAAGACCTTCCCGGGAGTCCAAAAGAATACCATACTAGATCCTAGACTTCTCTTTCCGGAGCCAAAAGACTACCCAGTGTCTTACAGACATCTCTCCCACGTTTCCAAACCAGAAAAACAATGGATATAAAAAGATACCTTTTTACCTGAGACGTACAGTATTAGCCCCACATTTTACAGACTACTCGGCACTTGATAGGCAAGGTGGTCAACATAAGGCTGGTGCCATTACTTTCCAGAGCACTTCAAGGTGTCAATTTGAGGTTGGGTCAAGCTGGCAGCCCAGGTAAACTTTTGCGAAAACTCCTGCTTCCACTAGCAAGGTGTTCTAGGAATGAGGACAGCTCTCACTGACTCAATGTTTGTTTTACTTGATATTTGTGGCTGTAGGAATACCTCACTTAACAACTTACAGCTTTCGGACTGTGCCTCTATTGGCACTGTCTTATTCACATACTGGTTTTTTTTTTAATGTATGAATGTATATGTATGTATGAGAGTGTGTGTACAGGTAATAATGTGTGTGTATGCATGCATGTGGTGTGTGCATGTATATAAGTATGTCTGCCTCCAATTTCCCAAAAATGTCATTCTTTTTCCCCAGTATACATATCTTAAATCTGTCTTTCTTTCTTTTGTCACTATCTGCTTTGTGTCACTAGGCATCACACTTGAACAGAAGATAGGTCACAGAGTTAGGCCAGGCTTGGTATGGTGTAATGGTGTCAGATCTTCCATTAAATCAAGTTTACTCAGGAGCCAAAATTGTGAAAGCAGGCATCGTTACTAGCAAGAGGCGGAGCCCCATCAGAGAAAGATCATTATATACAAATCATTATACAAATGACAGCCATCTGTGGGCCACATGGTATGCTTCTGTGGACCTGATTCTGCCTGAGGGCCGCCTGTTAAATAGCCACATCTTAGGCTGTCAGTGACCCCTTCAATCCATCTTCTAGCCTCTTTCTGAATACTGGTGTTTCCAGCATTAAATATCAAATATAAATTAGTAAAAAATCTATTTCTACACCTGCAGGGATTGTCCCTATTTTGACACGCAAGCCTATAAAACATGTCCACTATTACAAGAAGACTTAGGAAAATCTTACCACTGGACACGCCTCCTGTGGTCGTTTGCAGAAGGGAAGCTGAAAAAAGACGCAAACAGAAAGTTACTCTTTGCTATTTTCTTTAATAGATATCATCGAAAACTTTGAAACTATTCAGCTTCTGCTTATTTCTTTCTCGGTATTTGCCCTTGTAAGATTTGCTGGGACACTGTGTTGTGGTTTACAGCTATCTGCGCCTGCCAGCCCAACTCGTCCACCTTAATTAGTTGCCTTTTATGACATGCTTATCGAGAATTAGTGGGTCTGTTCCCAATTCCCTTAAAACAGGGTGTAAAAAGTCGGCTAAAAAAAATTCTGACCGCTGGCAGAGAAAATACAATTACCCGAAGTTCTCAACCTTTGGTCTTCATGTCTCTACCGTGAAGGGTGTCCTCAAGTCCTCATCTTGCAGTGACAGAGGAACTTGTATGTCCTCATGTAATCTTGTAGTGACAGAGGAACATTTATGTCCTGATCCTGTAGTGATATAGGAACATGTTTGTCCACATCCTGTAGTGACAGAGGAACTTGTAATGTCCCCATCTTGTAGTGACAGAGGGACTTGTAATGTCCCCATCTTGTAGTGACAGAGGAACTTGTAATGTCCCCATCTTGTAGTGACAGAGGGACTTGTAATGTCCACATCCTGTAGTGACAGAGGAACTTGTAATGTCCCCATCTTGTAGTGACATAGGAACATGTATGTCCTGATCCTGTAGTGACGTAGTGACATAGGAGCATGTATGTGCCCATCCTGTAGTGACACAGGAACCTACATGTCCTCATGTAGTGACATAGGAACATGTATGTCCCCATCCTGTAGCCACAAAGAAACTTGTATGCCCCCCATCCTGTAACCACAGAGGAACTCGCTCGTATGTCCTCATGTCATCTTGTAGTGACATAGGAACGTGTATGTCCTGATCTTGTAGTGACATAGGAACGTGTATGTCCTGATCTTGTAGTGACATAGGAACGTGTATGTCCTGATCTTGTAGTGACATAGGAACGTGTATGTCCTGATCTTGTAGTGACATAGGAACGTGTATGTCCTGATCTTGTAGTGACATAGGAACGTGTATGTCCTGATCTTGTAGTGACATAGGAACGTGTATGTCCTGATCTTGTAGTGACATAGGAACGTGTATGTCCTGATCTTGTAGTGACATAGGAACGTGTATGTCCTGATCTTGTAGTGACAGAGGAACGTGTATGTCCTGATCTTGTAGTGACATAGGAACGTGTATGTCCTGATCTTGTAGTGACATAGGAACGTGTATGTCCTGATCTTGTAGTGACATAGGAACGTGTATGTCCTGATCTTGTAGTGACATAGGAACGTGTATGTCCTGATCTTGTAGTGACATAGGAACGTGTATGTCCTGATCTTGTAGTGACAGAGGAAATTGTATGTCCTCATGTCATCTTGTAGCGACATAGGAACATGTATGTCCCGATCCTGTAGTGACAGAGGAACCTACATGTCCTCATTTCATCTAGCAGTGACATAGGAACATGATGTCTTTATCCAGTACGGATAGAAGAACTGTCTAAAATGGATACCAGGTAATGTCCTGGCAAGTAAAAGCAGCCAGTGTGATGCTGACCAAATCACCTATCAAGTTCCAACTGGTCTATAAAAACATGAATCTACCATTATATGCCACTGGGATATTTTTTTAAAGAGTCTTTTACTGTTACTTATTTATATAAAGTCTGGTCAACTGATCCGTCATGCGGCAATCAAGATGTGATAACCTCAGATTTGCCTTAAAAACTGTCCTTTGGCAGTAGCTTCTGGTCAATGTGGTGGATAGGTTCAGCTGGTGGTGTCTTGTGCGATTAACTGCGTGTGCAACTAATGATTAGTCACAACTGTTATTTCCATTGACAGTTAATTGCATTTCTAGTGCTGAACTGTTTGTGTTGGCACTTCTGATGGCTACCTTATGCATTTAATGTGTGTATGCTACTGGATTTGCTGAGACTGCAACCTGTAAGAAATTTCTTCACTAGGGACAGCGATGGACATTCTGTGTGAGGTTTTCTTTGGCAAAGGAACACAGCAACTAAAGGATGTCTCTTCGCTATAAAGTTTGATCAGCGATTACCTGATGACCAGACTGAATTTCAACCACACACCATTCAAGCTAATGGTGGGCGGCATACCTCCAGGTCATTCCAAACCACTCCAGTAGCCTCCATATTTCCTGGTCAGCTCTGAGCCTTCTGGTCACATCTAGTACTGTAGTCATCATCATCATCCGTATGTGTTGTTAAATGTCACAACATCTGTCTTGAAGTTTCTCTTGGATGCCCTTGTTTGCTCAATAAATTTGTTTCCCAATTCACTGCCTGTTTTTTGACTTTTCTGTCCATTTCTTGTCATCAGTTTGTCTAATAACTGCTGACACAAGGGGTTATCATACAATTCATTTATTTCTTCATCTTTCTGGTATTCCCCCATTTGATGTTCATCAGTTTCTTTAGACATCTGACTGAAGTTTTCAGCAAGCTATTATTTCTTGAAGTCTATGCTGAGAGTTGTTAACTTCACTTCTTCTTCTTCTGCTTTTCTAGTCCCCAATGAAGCTCAGTCCCTCAACCAACTCATTCTATCCTTTGCTATCGCATGCAGCTCTCCCCATCTTTCTAACTTCATTCTCCAATGCCCTTCTCCATGTGTTTTTTGTAGGTTCCAATTCAAAGACATTCTAGTTATATTGTTCTCTGGTTATCTCAATGTGTGTCCTATCCAATGCCAGCATCTTTTCTTCACCTCTTGGTCCACTGGAGCTTGCTTAGTTCTCTCCCAAAGCTCTTCATTAGTGATTCTATCATGCCATTTAATTTCCTCTATTCTGCACAGGCACCAGTTAATGAATGTGTGTAGTTTATTAGTAACTGTCTTAGTTGTTCTCCATGTTTCCCCAAGTTAAACTTCACTAACATATTAATATTCACCTCCATAGGAGAAACCAGGTCAGACAATTTTAGGCAGCCTGAAACAGTCAGTTCTGAGGTGAAGAAACAATTCTAGCAAATAGTAATTTGAGTCCGAACTGTGCACTGGTTAGCTTTATGTTGATGAAGTATGGCTGTTGATGCTTCTTCCTCTTCACATTTACAGGCTGTAAACTCTGATGGAAAGTTCTGGTTGTTTGCCCCTCCTCCTTTCTGGATTTTGATCTTGTTCCAGGACCTGAGTGTTGTGTGCACATCTATTTTACATATCTGACTTATTTGTGTGCCTCTCGGGCAGACACACTCCAGCTTCAAGGGAAACATTGATCCTATCTAAGTTGACCAGGCTCCCAGGTAAGAACCTATTTCTAGGATGACCTCAGAGAGGTTTAGATAGTCTTGACCAGTACAAGCCCTGGTCCTGGTAAACTACCCATGAGTGACTCAGGAACTCTGCGTCCCGCTGCTGCTTCTAAAAGTGACAGCTAACGTCTGAGTTGTCTTTAACCACGCCTGTCTCCAAACGAGGTGTCCTAGCTGCAGATAAGGCTTTAGCCATATATGACAGTCAGTAATTGAATTACTCCATTTTCCTGACCACTGAAGTTAGCTAACTGACAACCCAGCACTCGGGAAATTCCCAAAAGCACTTCGCCCTGAACTTCAGCAGCTAAGGCAGAATTCCAATTCTGATTATATCAGTAGCAATCTGATTATATGTACATCTTGCCTTTCCTCTGAGTACACAGTGTCAGCCAGATTCTCTGGTCACTCCCTCCTGAACCATTCCCTTCAGACCCTACTGATCTATTTCAGCTTCTGTATTGTTCACCCTCTCCCATAAGTCTCTGACCACATCTAACTTTTAGTGCAGCAATTTATCACAAGGTTATGCAGAACCATACGAACTGTCTGCTTGTTAGTTTCCTGACTCACCTGCATATTGAAAAAAAAAAAGGATCAAAAGAACTTCCTTGACAGTTTCAGACAAGAAATAAACAAGACATCTTTTCTTTATCATTGACTGGAGATGACTGAACACTACTTATGTGCTTACCTGAAGTGGTTAAGTATCTTTTTTTTTTTTAATGCATGACTGATATAATGATGCCAATTTGCATCATATAACATACACTCCTTTCATAAAAGAAGATGCCATCTCATGCCAAAAATAAAACAAAAACTGACAAGCAGGCAACTTGCACCACTCAGTTTACCTCCACTCTCAGAAGTGCTAATGCTGATTGGCTGAGTTGGACATGGCAACCAAGATGGAGGAGGCATCAGCTTCCGATCATCTACTTCGATGTGGCTGTCATGTTTATCCAGCAATTCTGATTATTAAAACAAATTAATTGATATGTAATTACTGAATTTTTGTCAGTGAATCACGTTTGTCCACCACCAGTTTTAGCCAGAAGTTTAAGACTACCTAGTTAACTACTGACTATTACAGAGTATAGCATCTCCTGCTATTTTAGGGTAAAAACAATCACCACCACCACTGTGAAAAGCAATGATTGTTATTATTTACAGAGCCGTCCGATTGTGTTCAAAGGTATCATCTCTGGATTTTATTTTTATTTTTTAGCATTTTTTAAAACCGAAAATCCAAAGATTTTACTGTTGAAACATCCAAAAGCCTCTAAAAACCTACAGGATAGTGTGGCAGATTGCAGTGATTGCATCTAATGTCTCGTGTCTTAAAACAACGGTTGAGGTAATACTCAGTAACAGTATAAGAATTTCTGTATGGGTTCCGGGGCCCGATCTGGTGGGTGGGGACAAACCCACTGCCCTCTAACAAGAAGGTCACAAAAGGTGACAAATTATTGTGTTTCTTTTGAAATCGGGGTGCATCTGCCTCAGAGGCAAGGAACCAACAGTCTACATATAAACGATCCAGATTTAATGGATAAAATGGATGTGCAAGAAGTAAAACTCAAGTTCTGGAACAAGACTAAAATCCAGATGTGGATGAACAGCCAGAACTTTCCACCAGCGTTTACAGTCAGTAAACACGAGGAAGAAAGAGAAGTATGGGAATATGAACTGTTTATTAAGTATTCTTAAACTTTTGGCCACTGTGTACAGTTAACATCCGAGCTGTGGCAGCTCGGCTCCCATGCCAGTGCAGTTGCCTGATTTGCTAAAGGCAGTGGTTATATATCCTTTATATTCTTACTGAGGGTCTTTATGGCAAAGGGATCAAGCAGTCTACTAGTCATATGAACGTTGCAAGTTCAATTTCTGCTGAAGGATGAGGACTATTATGAATCTCCTCAACTTGCTGTCTCCAACAGCATGTATCAATTTGTGTGCTGACACTCCTCCGTGCCATGACAAAATGCTGTTAAGAATTTGCTCAAGGTATCTTCCTCTATCTCTCAACGGAAGACTGAGTGTTAAGGTTGGGTTATTATTTTAAAAATCGGTTATTATTTTAAAGATCCACAGTGACTGTCTCTGGAGCTTTGGAATCCATACCTCATGGTTCATAGTCTAATTCATCAATGTTTTCCGATTGTTTTTTCAAAGCATTTTATTCACCCGTGTACCATGTGCTGTACCTTATTTGAGTGTCCACATCTAAATACAGACGTACAGGTATAGTGTTGTTTTTTTTATTTTTACATTTTTCTAGACTTGGTGGTGAGGAACTCAGCATGCTGTTGTCTACAGTCATTCTAGTAGAGACAGACTGGGCCAAATGAGATACAACATGATGCATTACATCTGATCCTCACACATTTTAAACAAATAACATCTGTACAGCCCTAGTGAGTTAGGATTTTTCACGATTCAAGCTTGAGCACTTAGGAAGTCAAGATCTTCTGGACATGTTATGTGAAGAAGAAAACCTTTCTGGCAGGATCTTTAGGGAAAGCAAAGAATAGTATTCATTCTACCAGGCATGTTGTGTGAGGTTTCCTGTGTAGGTTTGGGGCAACATTTTGAAGGAAAAGAAACTAACAACCACACTCCTAACAAGCGTGTCGTAAAAGGTGACCAACTGGGGAGGGGGGGGGATTATGTCCTTTGAAGTTGGAATGCACTGGCCTGAGTGGCAAAGAACCAACAGTCTGCATACAAATAAGCCAGATTTGGCAAATTGATATGCACGCAACACCCATGTTCTAGAACAAGTCCAAAGTTCAGACGTGGACAAACAACCAGAACTTTCCACAAGAGTTTACAGCCGGTGACCGTGAAGTAGAAGATAAGAGGTGACTAAAGGTAGGTCTGTGTATGGTATTCTATCTCATCCCATACAAACATTCAATAAGAAAGGTCAACCAACAGGTTGAGTGTCTATGCTCCACTGGAGAATAAAGGGCAGAAGAAAAGAAGAATGCAGCAAGTGGTATCTTCTTTTCTTCTATTCTGCATTTCACATCAGGTTTTTAAAAGTGATCTGGCACACATTTTAGTATGTGCAGTGTAATCTCAGATATTTTATCTATCCCTAATTTTCATCGTCAACCTCTATTTCCACTTCTGCAATGTTTAAGTGACAGGGCTCTCAGTGGTGCACTGTCTTGTGGTAATCCTGGTGTATATTCTGACCATCTGCTATGTTATCTTTTGGTGTAGTTTACTAACATGTGAGTAGAAAATTCAATGAGAAATGGGTGACTGGAAGATCCACCTTTCTGTGTATCAGTCCATGAGTTATGCATGACTGCAAGACTTTCCATTGCTGTATCAATCAACAAGTTAAATGTAACTTGAAAATCTTCCTTCGTGTGATTCAATCAATTGAGTTATGTGTGACTGGAAGACCTTGCTTTGCATGTATAAATCAACAATTTGCAGGTAACTTGAGAATCTTCCTTTGTGTGCTTCAATCAATGAGTTATGTGTGACTGGAAGATCTTCTGTCATATGCATCAATCAATGAGTTATGTATGACTAGAAGACCTTTTGTAAGTATCAAATCAATGAGTTGTATGTGACTGGAAGATCTTCCTTTGTGTGTATCAATCAATGAGTTATGTGTGACTGGAAGATCTTATATCACGTGCATCGATCAATGAGTTATGTGTGACTGGAAGATCTTCCTTGGTGGTTATCAAAGCAATAATTTATACGTGACTGGAAGATCTTCTATCATGTGCATCAATCAATGAGTTGTATGTGACATGAAGACCTTCCTCTGTGTGTATCAATCAAGGAATTATGTTTATTTTCTAGTTCTTCAGATATGCCAATTAGTGTGCTTCTTGTAACTGGTATGAAAAAATTAATGTCTTATTTTTTACTGATAGATCATTGTGTGTAATAAGCAATGTACTAATATGTAACAATACTTGTTACATTTAGCCAAAGCTCACAAGAGAAATTTGGTAATGTGGTTCTTGTTTTTTTTTTATCCCATCAAAAAAGTGTGCTTAGCCCCAATGAAATTAATTCACAAATTTCATGTAAATGTTTTATGTGACTATCTGTATAGAAGTGCCATTGCTGACAGGCAACAAACAGTGCATGAGGTTCACTGCAAATGGACGTAGCTTAGAGCAACAAATCCTAGCATATGAAGCCCCAACATATAGTTTAAGGGTGTAGCTGAGAGCTGTCCACACTGACTTGAGAACGAGTTGTATTCATGCTGTGATTGTAACAGATTCATAAATAACAATTTCCCAGTGTACTAAAGAAAGATGGAGAAAAGCATGCTCTATGCAGAGTGGCAAGCATCGCATCAGAGTTCCCCTGTAGTTATTGACCTTTAGAGGTGCAAGGTGTTTTGTGAAACAAACAGACGGACACACTGGCTGGTGCTGCACCACTTAGTGATAAACTGATGCGTGACAAGCTAAAATGGTCAAAGAATATTAGGAGCTTGTGAAAAGTGCAGAAGCATAAACACAGCATTAGGGTCTGGATAGAGTTGTGCGGTGGAGAGTGACAAGTGGATATTTCTGACACTCAACAGACAGGGAAAAGACCAGATGGACATACAATCTGACTGCTGCTGGCACCATCAAAACTAAAGCTCTATGCCAGCTGCTGAAGATGGGCATGTAGCATCTACTGGAATGTCCTGAGTGCAGTGATATGGGTTCTTAACTCCAACTCCCATAAAGTCATCTGTGAATGCCATTGGGCTACAAAAGATACTGCACATCCACACAAAAAGCAATCAGTTGCAGGTTCCTCTCTTGGAGGTTGCAAACTAACCCCAGAACTTATTGGAACTGGGACATTTGACTGGAATGCAAATTGGAATCCATCTTTTGTCAGATTGTGTGGTCTTACCAAGAAGAAAAAACTGACATCCTATATGATCTGAGAACTGGCTCATAAACAGCATCCTGTCTCGAAAGCTGAGATATTCTGGCCATGCTAAGCATCAGGGTGGTCTGGAGAGAACAGTAATGGTGGGTGCATTTTCCAGAAAATGAGACAGACCTCCGCGAATGTGGACACAAGACAGTGAAGATGCATTGGCTACAAAAGCTCAAAGGGCTGTTTTGAAAACTTGCTGGAAAAAGAGAGACTATCATGCGTGCTGTGACGAGAGCAATGTCCTGTAAAGAAACAGCTGATTGATGAGAATGTCACTGCTTACTAAATGACACACCGCTCAAACCACTGTCAAAATCAACGCAAACCATTTATTATAGACAAAAATAAGCCATTATATTAATCTGAGAGCCACAATAATGTGGCTCACCTGCCAGTCTGAAGGTCTTTGGTTCAAAAAGATCTCAAAGTTGGATTATTTCTTGAAAACTGATCTTGGCTCCCAGCTCAACCAAGCCTATAATGGGTACCATGTGATGCCCCGTAAGTAAAAATGTCCAGTGTTGACCACATCACCCATAGAGTGCCAATTGGTCATAAAATGTTAGTACAACATCAGGTACCCGATGCACCACTGGTGTTTTTTTTTTTAAAAGTGTCTTTTACTTTACACAGTAAATAAGATTTCAAGATTATGGGAAATGAAACTTCAATAGCCAAACAGGCAAATTATAAATTCTACACAGTAAATAAGATTTCAAGATTATGGGAAATGAAACTTCAATAGCCAAACAGGCAAATTATAAATTCTATTTCTGAACATGCAAGTACCTCTACTGATTCCCAGGAATTCGTCATCATCTGCTGTCTCAGTGATGTCAGAAAAATCCACGGCTGAGGGGGACTTGCTGTTGTAATCTGAAACAAATGGTCAGGATTTATAGCTACCACCGTCTAAAGACTGACTTGAGATCTGCTAAATGTAACCGTTTTCACTAAGGTGAAGTGGTCATGCTGTTGTTGTTTTTTTTTTCCATATTGTTTTGAGGTGAAATTATTAAAGATTAAGTTATCCTTTCATGTCACTGGCACATACTGCATGTGGTGCTAGTGTCAGATGTTTACAGACAAATTAGTAATCAGTGGGTGATCCGGCCACCATTAATAGGATCACCTTTACTTCCCAAAAAATGTCCTGGTGCCCATTTTAGGCTCAATCAACCTGAGAGTAAAGAACAATTATAATAATACCCACCCCAACACAGTTTATTTCATTTACAGTACAAACTCTAATAAGAAACGCCAATCCTGTCCCGCAAACTCAAAACAATAAGTCATTCAGCTTCTTTTTGGAAAGCTGTGTTGTGTTTCCAGCTAGGCTGAGGCAAAACAATAATTAGTCATCTCTTATGACATAGGTTTAGGTTTAGACGACGGATCAACATCATGGCACAAGGGTAGTAACCAACAAGTTCTCTATTATACTTCTATCTCAAGCCTGAGTCTAAATAATCTCACCCATAAGTGCCCTGTTCTACTTCTAGCTCAAGCCTGGATCCGAAAAATCTCAGTGCAGTGCACGAACTCTGTAGCGTGAGTTTTAAACTCCAAATTTTGCCCGGGCAGCGCCATCGGGCAACTTTTTCCGATTTCCAACTGCCAAAGCATTTTTGTTTACGTGCCAACAATATACACAGGCATCCGATCTTACTACCCAGCGACCAGGCGAAATTACTACAGGTACACGTTAACAAAATCCCAGCCTTTACAAGGAACCTACAGCACTCGAGGCAAACGCCATGCCTCGAGACCACTCAGTCCCGACAAGCTTTTTAGGAAGCAATGAATCTATTCTCTCCAAACCACCCCCCCCCCTTTTTTTTCCGAAATGAGACCTCAGAATATTTACCTTCTGAATTCTCCTCCTTGCTGTCACTGACATCAATTTCCTCTGCAATCTCCCGGACCATGGACCCTATTCCCATCTGTGTCAGGGAGCCCAGATGTCTTTTGGATTCCTGTTAAAACAGTAACTGACAATAACTATGTGCAGGAGTTAATTTAAAATTCATTTCAGACCATGCATCTTCCCTGTGGCAACATATGGATGTCAGTTGTGGATTAGCTCCCTGTCCTACAGGAATGAAACAGGGGTTATTGAGCTGAAATACTTACTTTTACAAGAACCGAACATCAAGAAAAAATGGCTAATAAACAGCATTTTGTCTCTGAGGCTAAAAATGTTTTGGTCATATCAAGTGCAGTGGCGAACTGGAAAAAAAAAAGACAGAAGGCATGGTACCGGGATGGAGAGGCAGAGGCCGACCAACACGAAGATGGGCACAGGATTTAAGTGACTCCTCGAATATGAAGGTGCACATGTTAAGACCGCTAGTGAGACACTGAATTTCTTTCAGATAGACCATGATGAAAGTGAGGTTCTGCAAAGGAACTGCTTTATGATGATGGTGACAAATTATTTAATTTAACAATGGAGGTCAGCTGAAAATATATTTTGGCACTATTTCAAAGTCGCCTAAGTGCGAAATCCTTATAATGAAAGCAAAAACTATGTTTAAACATAGTGATCATGTCAAAATTGTGCAGCTGCATGAAAAGTAATACAGTGGTACCTTGGTACACACCCACTTTCTAATAGGTCTAGTTTAGTATACGTCCTGTTTAGACGGAAAAATTTTGACTGGTATACAACCTTTGTTTGGTTCTTTTCTACTTAATTTTGCCAGCTACTGAGGTTGAGTTGAGATTTAAGAACTGATATCACAGCACTCCAGACATTCCCATAAGCACTCCGTCTCAATCTTCAGCAGCCAGCAAAGAGTTCCAAGTCCGATGGTACCAGCAACAGTCTGACTGTAAGTATGCCTTGCCTTTCCTCTTAATGTGGAGCATCAGCCAGATCCTCTAGTCACTCCCCATTGCACCATTCTTTTCAGGCCCTGATAATCTAAGTGTGCTGCCGCACTGTTCACTCCCTCCCAAAGACCTTGACAACATCTAGCTTGTCATGCACAAATTCACCACCAATTGGTATAGAACCAACAAGTCTGTCAGCATGCTCATTTCCTAACACACTTGCATGACCTGGAGAAAATATCAAAAGGACGCCAAACACCCTGGATTTCAGAAGTAATGCAGGGCACTCTGCACAAAGCATACCTGTCTCCACCTTTCTCTGCATGCTTTGTTGGTCAGTTACAATCATAACATGTGTGCAGCTGATTCTCAAGCCAATTGAAGGTTGCAGTGACTGAATCTACCTCCATTCTCAAACTTTACTGGGCAAAGGCTTGTCTATTAGCTTTTGCTATGAATCTCCATGCACTTCTGCCTCTCAACACAGAGCCACTGGTACAGATAATCACATTACCTGCTGTCATGAATCAGTTGTTGAATTTCTGATTCTGCAGCACTTGCTGGCCATTCCCTGCACCCCTGACGCAATGTAATTATAACCCTGCAAAAACCTGCTTGTTGCTCAAGCACCCTGATCTCCTCGCCTAATATTTTCAAGCATTTCACCATCATCACCAAGTGCCTTGCTGACTGGCATGGGCAATCTTGCCTCTCCACAATCTGAGATCTGCAACTGCATGTATCAGTTCGCGTGTTGACACTCGTCCATGCAATGATAAAAGACTGTCAAGAATCTTTTCACGCTGTCTTCATCAGTCTCTTTTTTTTTTCCACAGATCTTTCCAGTGGTAACGTGTTCTATTTTCCCTCTTCTCATAACATGGCCAAAAAATGATGACTCTTTTTGATGTTTGTGATAAGTTGTCCTAAAGCATTCACCTCTTTCAAAACATCTGGGTTGCTCTTCTTAGCTGTCCAAGAAATTCTAAGGATTCTATAAAACCACATCTTCCTCAGCCTCAAGATATTGTTCGGCTTATTTATTAATGGTCCCGGCTTCACAGCTGTATGTTAAAACTGGCTATATATAGCATCTGAGAATGTTTTTCCTAACCTCCAATAACATGGATTTATTGCATAAAATATTCTTTATTTTCTAAAATGCAGTTCTGGCCTGTCCTATTCTATTCTTTATCTCTGTGATACATCTTCCATCAGATGTTATCCATGTGCCTAGACACTTAAATTTCTGTACTAGTGCTTAAATAATCCTTTTGACTTTTATGACAAGCTAAAATGGTCAAAGAATATTAGGAGCTACATTTCTTTTCTTGGAAACCACCATTACTTGTCTTAGCATCAATGTTTAACTTTTCCAATAGTTTGATTATTTCTTCACATTTCACACAACCAAATGCTTTCGTATAGTCAATGAAACATAAGTAAAGATCTTTTTTTTTTTACTTCTATAGCTCTTTCATGTACACAGGTCAAATTGTGACTTCAGCCTGTGCCATCCAAGATCTTCAGCCTGTGTCCCTTAGCTATATCTAGAGCTTCATGCAAAGAGGTGTTGACCTTGAGTGCCACTGCTGTCTGAATCTTGAGTGCATGGAGTCCCTTTTGGGACTTTGCTGCAACAACCTCTACATGGTATTTGAAGGACATGCTTCTACTGAAAGTACTACCCAGGTACTTAAGTTACTGTTTTTAACTCTGATGCTTGGGACATTAGGTCTGACAATCCTATTGTCAAAAGAACACCATAAAACAGCCACCTTTTCTGGATTAATGACGGCACCAATCTCTGCACACAAGTCGGTTACCTCGTCCACTGCTGCCTAAAGCTCTTGAGCAAGACGACTATTTTATTATGGACAGACCAGAACAAGTCATTATCCTCAGCCTCAGAACAGGGCACAACCGATTACGTAACCACATGTACACAAAATTCAAGATAGGTGTATCAGCCATGTGCACCTGTGGAAATGTGCCCCAGACAGCAGAGCATGTACTCCAGGACTGCACCGATTTTGACACATTAAGGCAAACCTTTTGGCCAGAAAGAACAACAGTGGAACGTAAACTCTATGGACCACTGAATGAACTAACAACGACAGTGAAATTTATACAAGAGACAAAACTGCTGATATAGACAACTTATTTCAGGCGAACAAAAGAAGAAGAAGAAGAAGCAGGCTGCTGTCTATCACTCCCCTGTTTATATGCAAGAATATCATCTAGATATCGTCTTCCCCGACTATAACAATACAATAATATAATTTTCTATTTGAATATTAATAAACATAACAAGCAGATATTACCTATAATGAAGCCATTATCTACCACAATTGTTTACGTTTCGCTTACCTCATCAAGAAAATCCTCATCTAGTTCTCCCTTTTCGTCAATATTTCCAAACAGGAAACCGGTCAGTGATGACACTGCCGACGAGTGGGCCATAAAACTGTCCTGGGCAGGCCGATCACTTGCCCCCTGATGCATGTCCACATCAGATCCATGTTCCCCATCCCGATCCTCATCACTGTCCATGGTAAACAAAGTCTATGTGTTCTGGAAGATCAAAAATCAATTATTATTATTTTTTTTTTGAAGTAAATTACCTGCTTCTACACCTCAATGTGTGCTGGGTATAAGTTGCTACTTTTCACAAAGGGAGACAGCGTTGGAGCTATGATAGCTGGCAATAACCAGCAAATGTTTTCTTCTTAGCGTTCACAGGCTGTCAACTCTGGTGGAAAGTTATGGTTGTTCAACCACTTCTGAACATTAGTCTTGTTCCAGTAGTTAAGTTTGCGTTGCACCCTTATTTTACAGAACTTGCTTCTTAATATACAGACTTTTGGTCCCTTGGCTCTCATGTAGATGCACTCAGACCTCGAAAGAAACACACTTAATTAGTTGGGAAGGGGGGGGGGGGGGGGGGCATAGTGAGTCTCTATTTTTTTTTCTTCCTCAAATGGAGCCCTGAAACCCACACAGGGATCCAACCAACGTGAACCCATAGACATACCCCACAACCTACCAACAAACATACAATACAATTATGCAGACTTCACACTTCCAAGTCTCAGCACACCTGAAGCATAGTATTTAAGAAGCATTCCTTTTAAACATGTTTGAGCAGCAGTGTGCATAAATGCTGGTGTAACATGACCAGGGCTTTGTCATGAGATAGGCACTGACTAATGAACAAAAGAGCAGATGCTTATAGATGCAAAGATTCTGTTTCTGATCAATCAAAAATTGGCAGGATTGATCCAAAATAAATGCAGCGACATCATCCCATGCGTTCATCCTTTTGGTGGTCGGTCGACATCTACAATATTTCAAATTCTGCCCTTTATGCACCAATAGAATTTACCCTCTCACGCAGATTTCACCAAGTCATCACATTCTCTGTCAACACATCTCATTCAATCCATGCTTCCTTTATCTTATTCACCATTTTGCTTATTCCCTCCTCCATGTTTCATTTTTTCCCTCCTTTCATTATGCTAGCCCTGTGGAATCCATGAGAGAATATTATTATCAAATTTTTTTTCAGTGCGTATCCTAGTATTTAGTGCCAGTGGGTTTTTTCCTCACTCTCTGGATTCACTGGAATTCCTTTAGTTCTCATACTAAGTTCTATGGCTAGTGAGTCTGCCCATTTCTTATCTTCCTGAGCATACTCACCAGGTCACTGAGAGAACATGCGAGATGTTCAATGGTCATGTCACTGGCAGGTAATCTTCTTTCTTTTCGTTCGCCCTTGAAAGGGGGGTTGGCATGTTGTATTGTGGTTTTACAAATATGCTGCTATATCTGCACCTTTCGCCCCAACACATCTGATTTTAGCTGTCCTAATTAGTCTCCTTTTACAACATACTTTTAACGTGGCAGAACTTAACTCTAAACATTGCTATTCATCGAGCAATAACGGCAGAAGTAGAAACTGATGATGATGGCTTAAATTATTATTTCACGGCGCTTAACGGCAGAAGTGAAAACTGATGATGATGATCTAAACATTGCTACCCATGTACACGGCGCTTAAATGGATCGAAAACTATTTCTCCCCACGACGCTTAACTTTAAACATTGTACAGAAGTGGAAACTGTTGATGATGGCCTAAAT